AGAACCATAAACTTAAAGTCTGCTGGCAGAGATTCCCAAGGGGCTTGCATAACAAAGTCTGCATGTATTTCGTTGACACCCCTCTCAGTGATTGTATTTGTTATATCGAATGTATTAATGGTGTTTATTGCACAATGGGTTCACCTGTTGCTATTGGAGGCTCTTCTGTCCAGAGTTAGTGCTCCAGTGATTATATCTTTAAGTGAACTGATTCTAGGTCTAGTCAATATCTTGGTCAGCATGCACGCGCAATCCCTTTTACCCTTATTTCAATCGACGTTAGCTTGGTTTCTAGTCTTAGGTTCAGTATTTTAGTCCATCTGGGAGCTCCTGTTATGATTCGCAATGCATCGTTTTGAATAACCTCATGAGACTACGTGGCAACACTCCAGACAGACACCTACGCATTCAAGACATTAACCTTCAGTGGGTTACACAATATCAATATCTCGGAGTGTGGATAGATTCTAAAATGACATTCAACAAGAAAATTCAATACCTGAAGGAGAAAGCAAAATCATGACTAAATATAATGAGAGCAATCACAGGGCCCCATCTAGGAGCGGGACACAAAGTGTTAAGAATGTTTTACATACACGCCGTTCGTTCCCTAGTTGATTATGCAGCACCTGCCTTACTCACTCTTTCTCCTGAGCAGTGGGCAAACATTGAGGTTATTCAAAAGTGGAGATGACCGAACCAGCCAGGTACCTGACCAGGCTGATCTGCTGAAAGAGGCGGAGCCACGGAAAACATCGCGGGTTCAGACACAGAGCACACAGCGCCTGAAACCAAGACTGGGCGAGCCAAGGAGCCAACAGGACTACTTTCCCCTGGTAAGTCTCCAATTGAGCCAGGACCCGAAGTAACAGCTGGACCGGGGGAGGGGGGGGGAAAAGGTACAGGTAACCCCACCTCGACCAGTCCTGCTGAAAGGTGTCTACCGCAAAGGACTCTAGGTCGGGAATGGGTGCCATATACAAAGGAAGATACTGGGACCACGCCGACGCAAAGAGATCCACGCCCAGGAGTCCATACATCCGGCAAAGTCAACTGAAGGGGTCAGTGTTGATCGTCCATTCTGTGGACAGGGGAATGAACCAACACAGGCAGTCCGCCAGGACATTGGACACTCGCCGAACATGAACCGCACAGAGAGCCAAACCCCAAGAATCAGCAAACAAGTCACTCGAAGAGACCAGCCCCAAAGAGCCAAGGATCAAAGAGAGCCCCCGCGGTTCAGGCAATGAACCATCGGAGAACAGTCCGAATGGAGCCTGATTGTCGAACCCCGAGCGACCCGAACCCACTGAAGCACCAGTCAAACAGCCGCTACCTTCTGCACCATGCTGCGAGGCCAACGAAAGAATGGGGCCCACCACCCCTGGCCAACCTGGTGAGCACTGTTCACAAAGCCCCAGCCGAGATACAAGGCATCCATGAACACATCGAGCAAGGTCTTGGATAGGACCTTGCTCGATGTGTTGTGCCAAGGCACTGAACTAAAAAAATAACGAATAGGAAGCCAGCAAGGTAGCAATTGACACAAAACCTCCGAGGGCCGAACCCAACAACCGCGAGAGAAATGGAAGAGAGAGCCCCAAAGGAACCAGAACAGCCGCCAAAGAAACACCCAACCCGGCGGGTAAACAAGCATGGCAAAGTTCAGACTCCTGCACAGCTGCTCGAACAACCTGCAAGTGACCCGGGAGCCCTCCAGAAACAAGCGAAGGCGGAACTGCAGCCCCAGCAACGACTTCAGAGGGATAGACAAGGAAGCAGTCCACGAGTCTCACACAAGACCCAGCCAAGGCCGAACCCGGGATGGAACCAGATGGGATTTCCTCTAGTTTACTACGAACCTGAACCCGGTCAGCCGGGAAAGAACCACACCCCTGGCAAGCAGGCATGCAGAGCGGCTGGGAGCCCACACCAGCAAGTCGTCGAGGTAGACCAAAACCCAAACCCCTAACAGATACAGACGGGCCACCACAACCTGGGTGAATATGTGAGGTGCCAGATTCAGGCCAAATGGAAGGCAACAAAAGTAGAAAGTTTGTCGCCTCACCACAAAACCTAACCAGTCCTTGAACCCCAGATGAATCGGAATGTACCAATATGCATCTCAGAGGTCCAAAGACACAATCCAATCATCCCGCTCCAAGAGAAGCCGAACCTGGGATAGAGTGGTCATCCAAAAAGAGGGGCAAAAGATCCAAAGGCTCAGGTGGGACAAGTCCAGAATGAACCTCAAATCCACACAGTCCCATTTCAGGACTGGAAACAGGCAAGAAACCCACTGGAGGGATGGGGTCGTGTCGACCACGCCCAAACGCACCCGCTCCAAGATGACCCAACGGAGTGCAGGGGAAGAGGCCTGCCCCACTAGCCCCGAACCCCAATGGATGACCAATGCCACCACAGGCTGCAAACAACTTCAACAAGGCAGCCAATGCCCTAGCCGCCGAGGCAAGCACACTGGACGAAGACGGCACCTAGTGCCTCCACATCCTCCTCAAGCCAGTCTGAGAACAGTTCAAGAAGGGAAAAGAAATGCAAGACCGAGGCCAAATGCCCACAGTCTCGCAAATCCTCAGCTATTAAAGCAGCTGAAAGGGAGGAAACCTGCACGTGAAGCAGCACAACGCCAACATCCTGAGGAAGCACAGGGGTGTACAAGCACATGCTTAGGCACTCAAACTCGACCCCCAGGTAAACCTGTACCACAGTGGAAGTCTCCCGCCAATCAAGTGTGCGGATCAGACAAAACCCATGCCATGCTCCCAATGTGGCATGGTCTGTCTGACCATGACAAAGAACAGTTTGCTAACCAGGAAGACTCTGGTACCTCGTAACGCACCCAAAAGGGAAAGGTCGAACCGAACTCAAAAGAAGATGGATCCTTCACCGAGGCAGAATCCAGGTCTCAGTAGGTAAGCCACGATGGACTCTTGAACCTCCTTAGGTGGGATTCAAGAAGCCAAAAGCCTCCAGAAGGAACCGAAGAACCCAGAGGAACTTGGAACCAAACCCAGGGAGGAGTCGAACCCAAATCATATTCATACAGGGAAGGAGGGTACAAAAACCCCTCCCCCCCTGCAACAACATGCTCCATGACGAGGGGTACCAACACCAAAGCGGGGTCAAAGGGACCCAGGCCCCCCAATTCAACCCCTCCCCAGCCCCGAGGTCCTCCATGCCAGGACCCAGGGCAGAACCATCCCCCACACCCTCTGCCCCTAAAGAAAAAACAGAGTCCAAGGGAAAAGGCTGAGAAGAAGGAAGTCTGCTGGTAAGACCCAGAAGCCTCGGCAGGAGGAGCAGGCTTGAATGCCTCTGTCACCGACCCAGAAGGGGCAGTCCCCGAAGCCACCCAAGTCTCACTACCATTAGGTGAGTATTAGGTGAGTACCATCTAAACCCCGCCTCGACTCTGAAACCCTCAAACGTTTGGGAGCCAGGAGCATGGGGGAAGGAGGGGAGTGCAGGACGAACAACACCAACAGAGAAAGGACATGGGAGAGCGGACGAAAACAAAGTCGAAGCGACTAACGCCCCCAAGTCCGGATCCCTATAACCCAAGCGGGGCAGCCTCAGGGCATCTGGGTAAGCAACTAACCTAGCGCGCTGCAGCAACCGATATCTAGCATGCAATGCCGAAGCTGCCTGTACCTGAATATCAATATCAGAAGACTGGGTAATCTGGAGCACAAGCACGGAGCAAGACTCGCAAGACTCCTGGTCAAAGGTGTTATTGACCCAACAGGCAGCATGACGGAGGCAAAACTGGCGAATGTCACCCTGAGACAAGGGGACAGAGCAACCTTCAAACTCGCACTCGGTGAGTTGTAACCAAGAGGACGCATCCATACGTAGACAAGGATGGATTATTTAACACAGGTGGCACACGCACAAGGGGACAGAGGTGGAAGCCGAGTACCCAAATGAGCCACAGAGACATTAGAAAGAACTTTTTCAGTGTCAGAGTAGTTAGTAAATGGAATGCAGTAGGAAGTGATGTAGAGGAGGCTGACTCCATACACAGTTTCAAATGTAGATATGACAGAGCCCAGTAGGCTCATGAATCTGTACATCAGTTGATTGATGGTTGAGAGGCGGGACCAAAGAGCCAAAGCTCAACCCCCGCAAGCACAACTAGGCGAGTACAACTAGGTGAGTATATGTTCAAAGAGCACCAATGGGGTTTTTCCAGGGACCTTAGGCTAACTGCTAAGGGAAGCCCAGACAAGGTATTGCTAATTGGTTGGGCTCAAACTACTATGAGAACTGCTAAAAACCTGAACCCCTGCGATCTGTTGCACGAAGGCCTAGTGAAGAACGACCAATACAACAGAAGGGTAGATAAACCAAGGGGGCAGACCCCCACCGGGCAAAAGAAAAAAAGAAAAAGAAAACCCTGCAAATGCACGTCTCCAGGAGGAACAGAATTATAGATATATTATTATACCTGTGTATAATAGGAGACAAACTGCACAACACCTTGCGCCCCTACTAGCAATGATACCACTTCTTACCAAAGGCCAAACAGTGGCAACAAAAACCCCAGCTGGCCCCAAGGGCGGGCAATTGCTCAGCAGCAAATTGGGGGAGCCATAGGGGCTCCCCACAGAAACCATTACTAACAGAGTTAACATGTGTTATAAAAAGAGAACAGAAAGTTGGACATGAATGTTTTCAATAAAGTATGTTACTGATGTTCTATTTTATCAGTGTAGTACTTGTGGCTTGGAAATAGCAGGAATATTTAGTATTAATATTCAGGTTGGCATTAATTTCCTACATGTAAGTTTAAGCTTAGTTTTTGTCTATTTGATATTTTTAAGGATTTCTAGGAATGCATCTCCTGCAAAACTGACAGCTTGCTGAATATTTTACAAATCAATGTGAATTTTTAAGTGTATATGGATACCAAAATATAATCAGATGTCTATCAAACTTAAATGTTGTTGATCTTCTGGAGAATAAAGACCAATGCTTACCTCTGTAATCAAATGCCACAACATGATAATCCATTTTCCTGAGAACCTTATAGAGTTCGATCCTATGTGCAGTTGCACGAGATGAAGTGTTCCCATGAAGGTAAAGAATAACAGGCCTTTCATCATTTAAACTTTTTTCATACCATGCTACATGATCTGCAGATTCCTCATTAGGAGCTGAAGAAATAAGTAACTCGGGGAGTATATGCCTGAAAAATGAAAGTAAAGTACAGTACAGAAAGTACAGTACCTAATATTTTTTTTAACATCAGTTCAACTGATATATTTCTGCTTTTCACTTATATAAGTGTGATTAAATATTTGATTACAGGTGAAGCTCTGCCAATGGCATTATAAATGACAGCATACCAACATGCACACAACAGACATGAAACAGTATACTGTATTGCCCATATTTTGTATTATCTATATAAATAAAAATGGAAATGTTCGTTTGTTCATAATCGATAATCTCCGAAAGTTCTTCATTGAATGCTTTGAAATTTTCACACAACGTTCCATTCGCATCAGAGCGGGTTTTTATATACATATTATATAGATGTCACGTCTGTGGCGGGAAAAAACATGCTTTTTTTTTAAAAACTGTGTTTTTCCATGTGAGGGAAATCTTTGAAACCTCTTTACGAATTGCTCTGAAATTTTGACACAACGTTGCATTCGAATAGGCATATCTTTTTATATACATACTTTAAACATGCCTCACCTATGACAGGAAAAAACATGTTTTTTTTTTTTAAAACAGCGCCATCTGTTAGACGTAGGAGCAACACACGCTGTAATCTCCAAAATTTCTTTACCGAAAGCTTTCAAATTTTGACAACGTTCCATTCGAATACGCGCGTGTTTTGATATACCTACTATAAAGGTGCCACCCCTGTGACAGGTAAAAACATGCGTTTTTGAAAAACAGCGCCATCTCTTGCTAATAAGACCAACACATGCTCTACTAAATATGTTACGATTCCATTTCAATGTTTCCGATTTCATTGATAAGTTGAATTTCAATAGATTTCATTTTACTTTCATTTTGATTTAATTATTTTTTTGTGACAATGCGTTGGAATTGAGATGTGTTGTTTACCATACCGTTCATTTCATGAGTACAGTATAGTTTATTTTTTTAATTTTTAATTTCGTTTTTTGAACTGTTTTTCTTATATTTCAGTGATGGTAACTTCTAGGGCCAGATTCACGAAGCACTTACGCAAGTACTAACGAACGTGTACATCTTTCCTCAATCTTTGATGGCTTTAGTTACATTTATTAAACAGTTTACAAGCACAAAAACTTGCCAATCAACTGTTGTTATTGTTATAAACAGCCTCCTGGTGCTTCGGAGCTCATTAACTGTTTAATAATTGTAAATAAAGCAGCCAAAGATTGAGAAAAGATGTACAGGTTCGTAAGTGTTTGCGTAACTTCTTCGTGAATCTAGCCCCAGATCATTTGATGTTCCCAATTTTCTGATAGGAGCATCAGATCATTTGATCACCAGATGAGGGAGTGGGGAATGGTGGGAAGGATGAGGGGATGGGAGTGGGGGATAGTGGGGGAGGGCGAAGGGACGGGGGATTTGGAGACCATGGGGACGAGGGGAAAGGGGAATGAAGAATGGTGGGGAGGACAAGGGGACAGGGGAGTGAGGGATAGTGGGAAGGACGACGGGACGGGGGAAGCGAGAATGCTAGGGAGGACGAGTGAAGGGAGGGGGGAATGGTAGGGAGGACGAGGGGATGGGAAAGTGGGAAGGAAGAGGGGACGGTGGAGTTGGGAATGGTTAGGAGGGCGAGGGGATGCTGGAGTGGGGGATGATGTGGAGGGAAAAAAAGAACGAGGGAGTGAGGAATGGTTGGGAGGACGAGGGGACGGAGGAGGGGGGTAATGGTGGGGAGGACTGGGAGATTGTTGCTCAGCAACGCTCATGCGTTGCTGAGCCACAGCAACACGTGGCCGGGTACAGCTAGTATATTTATATATACATTATATATATATATATATATATATATATATATATATATATATATATATATATATATATATATATATATATTATTAAATATGACCGAAAAAGTAAGATTAATAATTCTAACACGAATTTTCTCAATCTTTCGTACATTACGCTTCACTGTTGGAGGTAAATCAAAAATCACTTCTCCAAAATTCATTTTTATTTCTAGTCTGACGCGACACGGGCGCGTTTCGTAAAACTTATTACATTTTCAAAGACTTCACAAATACACAACTGATTAGAACTTACGTCTCTCTGATATTATATCTACATTTGAGTGAGGTGGGAAGGGTGATGTGGCATTAACACAAGACAGAACAGGAGGGGATATTAATAGGGTATTAAAAGTATCAACACAAGACAGAACAGAAACAATGGGTATTGAATAGAAGTGTTTGTAGAAAGCCTATTGGTCCATATTTCTTGATGCTTCTATATTGGAGCGGAGTCTTGAGGTGGGTAGAATATAGTTGTGCAATAATTGGCTGTTGATTGCTGGTGTTGACTTCTTGATGTGTAGTGCCTCGCAAACGTCAAGCCGCCTGCTATCGCTGTATCTATCGATGATTTCTGTGTTGTTTACTAGGATTTCTCTGGCGATGGTTTGGTTATGGGAAGAGATTATATGTTCTTTAATGGAGCCCTGTTGCTTATGCATCGTTAAACGCCTAGAAAGAGATGTTGTTGTCTTGCCTATATACTGGGTTTTTTGGAGCTTACAGTCCCCAAGTGGGCATTTGAAGGCATAGACGACGTTAGTCTCTTTTAAAGCGTTCTGTTTTGTGTCTGGAGAGTTTCTCATGAGTAGGCTGGCCGTTTTTCTGGTTTTATAGTAAATCGTCAGTTGTATCCTCTGATTTTTGTCTGTAGGGATAACGTTTCTATTAACAATATCTTTCAGGGCCCTTTCCTCCGTTTTATGAGCTGTGGAAAAGAAGTTCCTGTAAAATAGTCTAATAGGGGGTATAGGTGTTGTGTTAGTTGTCTCTTCAGAGGTTGCATGGCTTTTCACTTTCCTTCTTATGATGTCTTCGACGAAACCATTGGAGAAGCCGTTATTGACTAGGATATTATATAGGATATTCCTAGTCAATAACGGCTTCTCCAATGGTTTCGTCGAAGACATCATAAGAAGGAAAGTGAAAAGCCATGCAACCTCTGAAGAGACAACTAACACAACACCTACACCCCCTATTAGACTATTTTACAGGAACTTCTTTTCCACAGCTCATAAAACGGAGGAAAGGGTCCTGAAAGATATTGTTAATAGAAACGTTATCCCTACAGACAAAAATCAGAGGATACAACTGACGATTTACTATAAAACCAGAAAAACGGCCAGCCTACTCATGAGAAACTCTCCAGACACAAAACAAAACGCTTTAAAAGAGACTAACGTCGTCTATGCCTTCAAATGCCCACTTGGGGACTGTAAGCTCCAAAAAACCCAGTATATAGGCAAGACAACAACATCTCTTTCTAGGCGTTTAACGATGCATAAGCAACAGGGCTCCATTAAGGAACATATAATCTCTTCCCACAACCAAACCATCGCCAGAGAAATCCTAGTAAACAACACAGAAATCATCGATAGATACAGCGATAGCAGGCGGCTTGACGTTTGCGAGGCACTACACATCAAGAAGTCAACACCAGCAATCAACAGCCAATTATTGCACAACTATATTCTACCCACCTCAAGACTCCGCTCCAATATAGAAGCATCAAGAAATATGGACCAATAGGCTTTCTACAAACACTTCTATTCAATATCCATTGTTTCGTGTTCTGTCTTGTGTTGATGAAATTAATACCCTATTAATACCACATTTTGTTCTGTCTTATGTTAATGCCACATCACCCCTTCCACCTCACTCAAATGTAGATATAAAATCGGAGATACATAAGTTCTATTCAGTTGTGTATTTGTGAACTAAAGTCTTTGAAAATGTAATAAGTTTTACGAAACGCGCCCGTGTCGCGTCAGACTAGAAATAAAAATGAATTTTGGAGAATTGATTTTTGATTTACCTCCAACAGTGAAGCGTAATGTACGAAAGATTGAGAAAATTCGTGTTAGAATTATTAATCTTACTTTTTCGGTCATATTTAATAATATATGTCTACAGGAAAGACTGCTACCAAAATATACTAATATATATATATATATATATATATATATATATATATATATATATATATATATATATATATATATATATAACTGAAAACTCACACCCCAGAAGTGACTCGAACCCATACTCCCACAACTGGTATGTACAGGGACGCCTTAATCCGCTTGACCATCACGACCGGACATAAGGAAGTGATAGCCGAGGCTATATGAACCACTTCCCCGCCGGCACTCGGATGGTAATCTTGGGCATAGCATTTTATCAAATCACCTCATTCTTTGGGGCACACGTGAGGAACACAAATGCAAACAAGCCTGAATGGTCCCCAGGACTATATACAACTGAAAACTCACACCCCAGAAGTGACTCGAACCCATACTCCCACAACTGGTATGTACAGGGACGCCTTAATCCGCTTGACCATCACGACCGGACATAAGGAAGTGATAGCCGAGGCTATATGAACCACTTCCCCGCCGGCACTCGGATGGTAATCTTGGGCATAGCATTTTATTTAAGGCGTCCCTGTACATACCAGTTGTGGGAGTATGGGTTCGAGTCACTTCTGGGGTGTGAGTTTTCAGTTGTATATAGTCCTGGGGACCATTCAGGCTTGTTTGCATTTGTGTTCCTCACGTGTGCCCCAAAGAATGAGGTGATTTGATAAAATGCTATGCCCAAGATTACCATCCGAGTGCCGGCGGGGAAGTGGTTCATATAGCCTCGGCTATCACTTCCTTATGTCCGGTCGTGATGGTCAAGCGGATTAAGGCGTCCCTGTACATACCAGTTGTGGGAGTATGGGTTCGAGTCACTTCTGGGGTGTGAGTTTTCAGTTGTATATAGTCCTGGGGACCATTCAGGCTTGTTTGCATTTGTGTTCCTCACGTGTGCCCCAAAGAATGAGGTGATTTGATAAAATGCTATGCCCAAGATTACCATCCGAGTGCCGGCGGGGAAGTGGTTCATATAGCCTCGGCTATCACTTCCTTATGTCCGGTCGTGATGGTCAAGCGGATTAAGGCGTCCCTGTACATACCAGTTGTGGGAGTATGGGTTCGAGTCACTTCTGGGGTGTGAGTTTTCAGTTGTATATAGTCCTGGGGACCATTCAGGCTTGTTTGCATATATATATATATATATATGTATGCTGTTGGCCCATACGAGGCAGCTGCTGTTGGCCCATACGGGGCAGCTGCTGTTGGCCCATACGGGGCAGCTGCTGTTGGCCCATACGGGGCAGCTGCTGTTGGCCCATACGGGGCAGCTGCTATTGGCCCATACGGGGCAGCTGCTATTGGCCCATACGGGGCAGCTGCTATTGGCCCATACGGGGCAGCTGCTATTGGCCCATACGGGGCAGCTGCTATTGGCCCATATATGGGGCAGCTGCTATTGGCCCATACGGGGCAGCTGCTATTGGCCCATATATGGGGCAGCTGCTATTGGCCCATATATGGGGCAGCTGCTATTGGCCCATATATGGGGCAGCTGCTATTGGCCCATATATGGGGCAGCTGCTATTGGCCCATATATGGGGCAGCTGCTATTGGCCCATATATGGGGCAGCTGCTATTGGCCCATATATGGGGCAGCTGCTATTGGCCCATACGAGGCAGCTGATATTGGCCCATACGAGGCAGCTGATATTGGCCCATACGAGGCAGCTGATATTGGCCCATACGAGGCAGCTGATATTGGCCCATACGAGGCAGCTCCTATTGGCCCATACGAGGCAGCTCCTATTGGCCCATACGAGGCAGCTCCTATTGGCCCATACGAGGCAGCTCCTATTGGCCCATACGAGGCAGCTCCTATTGGCCCATACGAGGCAGCTCCTATTGGCCCATACGAGGCAGCTCCTATTGGCCCATACAAGGCAGCTGCTATTGGCCCATACGGGGCAACTGGTATTGGCCCATACGGGGCAGCTGGTATTGGCCCATACGGGGCAGCTGGTATTGGCCCATACGGGGCAGCTGGTATTGGCCCATACGGGGCAGCTGATATTGGCCCATACGGGGCAGCTGCTATGCGGTGTTCTGAATGTGTTGATGGTGAATGTATATAGTGTGTGACAGTGTATAGTGTGTAAATAGATTGTATATATACACAAATTAGCATGATACATAGTAAATAAGTGCTGCATATGTGTACACAAGTTTCATGCACGTAACACAGTGTCTACGGACAGTACAGATGTTGTACTGCGATATTATAGTATACGTGTTCATTATACATTGGATTGGCACATATAAACAATGAAAATGTATTTGGAAAGGTGCGCAAAAAATGAACGAAAATATATTCGCGGCAACTCGCGCGCCCCGCCCCGAGCGCCCCACCGCCCCCGAGAGCTTACGGCACGGGCGCACGGGGAATGATGACGTCACGCCCCAACTTCCGGACCCCATAGCAGCCAAAGTAAGTACAATTTCGACTTTTTTTTACATACCCATACTGAGGGAAGGGTTTTTGACACTGGAAAAAATTCTTTTTTCTTTTTAAAGAGAATTTATTTCCTGCGCACTGCGGGGGGTGTCACATTTGGAGGAAACGCAGTTAAGGGGTTAAAAGTAATACTGGTACAGTACTTCAATTGATAACATTAAATAATTTAATTCTACTGGTACAGTACTTCAATTGATAACATTAAATAATTTAATTCTAAAGACATCTAATCATTATAATTAACAAGATAATGAAAACCTTAATAGTAACACTAAACACTGCAAACACCTGTGCCACTTACCACACTCCAACTTTGACATTCTTGTCAGTTTCCAAATAGAAGTTGCGTGTTCCAGGTAAATCTTCTCTCTCAGGTGAATTGTAGTCCACTCCTTTGGGAACATTTACTGTCAATGAAGAAAAGTACAGTATACATTTGGATTTATATATAAATGATTTCAGAAAACCTATGCTCTGAAATCTTTGAAAAATTATTTTATTACCATATTTGCCAGCATAAAAAAAACACACCCTTGCACAAGACGCACCCCTATTTTACAAGGATATTTTGTGGAAAAAAAAACAGTGCTTAATGTAATGAAATGCCATTTTCTGTGTGAGACCCGGAGGCTCCCCATAGCTATCCAGGCTGATATGTAACTACTCTAACTGATGTCAGAAAGCTAATAAAGTACATTTAGTTCTGCCTACCGGGGACCATGGGGCTCCACCCAGAAAAGTTTATGTTTGTATTATTAATGTTACAGTCCAATAAATAAAAATGTTGATTAATGTTTAAGACAAAAACCAAACTTAAACATTCCTGGATCTGGTATAGTACACAAATGTACTATATTAGGTTCAATATAGCATGTATTAGGCCTAGGATTGCATGGACAGGTGAGGCTAGGTTCTTCAGTAACATTTCTGATTTCACAGCGTTCCATTTAGTCTAATTCAATAATATATACAGTAACATGAACTTTTTGGGGGTCCAACAGTATATATTAGTATGCCTGACTAAATAGTTGTCATAAGTCCTATCATTTTAGAAAGATGGGCTGGATTATTTAAATACTTACTGAATATGGGTGAAGTTACTCTATCCCAAAATAAAAATTTACTAACAAACAGATTTTTGTTTTGCCCATGTTTAATATATTCTTTTTGGAGTGATACCTCCCAATTCAATAAAAATACAACACAGGGTGAGGATACCTGCATCATGGGGTTCAGGGAGTTCTACTACTCCCAAAGCCATGCCCAAGGCCAGGCTTGACTTGTGAGCGCTTGGTGCAGTAGGCTGTTGCTTGGAGTGACCCGGAGGCCTACATATCCACCACAGCCTGGTTGGTCCGGCACTTCGTGAAGAAAACTATCTAGTTTTCTCTTAAAGATGTCCACGGTGACATGAACATGTTCCAGATGAGGATGTAAATATTAAGAGTACAATACTATACCAGTACTTACAAAAATTTAGGAAAACAATATGTCGCTGGAGAGCTGGAGAATAGTGAAACACTAATGGAATGATGAAGTACACAATAAACAATGTCGAAATGGCTCCTACAATCACAGTCCTCAGAGCTCTGTAAGACAATATTAAAAGTAAGTCAATTTGTGGGACACAATATAAACAAATGTGCATACAATATCACTAGCCAAAATATATGCTCTTAAAAATGTTAAGCAAATAAGCTATGTATTATATAGTTACAGCAAAACAGTTTATAATCATAAAAAAACAGTGTTGAATGTAATGAAATGCCAGTGGCTCCCTGAAGCTATCAATACTGATATACTGTAGTGCCATACTACTTAGAGTCATCAGTCGCAGAGTTCTTTGTAAGCCTACCAGGGACCATGAGGCAGAACCTGGCTCCCTCTGAGAGGCATAGGGAGCATTATGAACAATTTGATGTAAATTTATTCATGTCAGTCACCACCGAGGGAAGGCATCAATAAAGTCAGCAAAACAAAACAGACCACTGCTCGATTAAAAACCACACAGCATCCTCAAACAAGCCAAAAGAACTCCCCCCCCCTTCCCCTCCCAAAATGTAAATAAATGATTTAAAATTTGTGAAACTAGTGCGAGCTAGTTCACCCACCTTTCCCCACCCCCACAAGGGGGAAAGAGGGAGGCAGACTGGGTCAGCCAGCTGCTCCACCACCACCACTTATTATTAAAACTACCCTGATGACCTGGGGGAGGAGGGGGGGTATCAGGGAGCCACCAGGGCTCAGGAACAGATGGGATCACTTTATTAAGGGATTAATGGATTCCTTAAGGGATCACTGTTAAGGGATTTAGGAACAGATTAATCACTTCTTATGATTAAAACTACCCTGATGACCTGGGGAAGGAGGGGTGGTATCAATGAGCCACCAGGGCTAACCCATAATAAAGTAATCAATTATGTAATTTCATTACATTAAATTCTGGTTTTCTGGAGTTAGCCCCTTGGGGCTCCTTGATGAACCACAGAGAAGGAAGGAAGAGATGGCACTTGCCAGGGAGGAGAAAGCAATGCAGGTAACAAGACAAAGAAGAGACCAACAGCTGCAACACATGACCCAAGGCCACCAAGGACTGGAATGTTCACAAGATACCTGCTGCCAAGACCTTGTTGAAGTGTGTCATCTTGTCATCAACCAGGAAAGACACCCAGAAAGGTAAGTGAATCAAAACAGAGCTCTACCTGGTTGAAAATTGCAACCTACGTTCTCAAAATAGCAAAAGAACATCCCCACAAAGAAAACAAGCAAAACTTTGTCCAACTAACCCCCTGCTTGTTAGCACCACTCCCCCGACCATTATGTGATAAGACATGTTCACTACCGACAAAATTCTATGAGGAACTGATAGGGTTGATAGATAAATTGTTTAGCACAGGGAAGGGGGTAGACGAACAGGGGACACAGGTGGAAACTGAGTACTCGAATGAATGAATGAATGAATGAATGAGACAGACAGACAGACAGACAGACAGACAGACAGACAGACAGACAGACAGACAGACAGACAGACAGACAGACAGACAGACAGACAGACAGACAGACAGACAGACAGACAGACAGAGACAGAGACAGAGACAGAGACAGAGACAGAGACAGAGACAGAGACAGAGACAGAGACAGAGACAGAGACAGAGACAGAGACAGAGACAGAGACCGAGACCGAGACCGAGACAGAGACAGAGACAGAGACAGAGACAGAGACAGAGACAGAGACAGAGACAGAGACCGAGACCGAGACCGAGACCGAGACCGAGACAGAGACAGAGACAGAGACAGAGAGAGAGAGAGTGAGAGTGACTAGAATCCAGTGACTAGAGTCTGTAAACACAAGACCGGGTGTTGCGGATCTGGGAGTTATGATTAGTAAGAATTTAAAACAAAAGGATCAATGCATGAATGTTCGTAATAAGGCGAATAGGACACTGGGATTTATTAATCGAAGCGTTAGTAACAAGACACCTGGTGTGGTTCTTAAGCTATATCTTGCTCTGGTTAGGCCCCATTTAGATTATGCAGTTCAGTTTTGGTCGCCGTATTATAGAATGGATATAAATTCACTTGAAAGTGTCCAACGTAGGATGACTAAGTTAATTCCCCAAATTAGAAATCTTTCAAATGAAGAAAGATTAACAAAGCTTAAGTTGCATTCACTGGAAAGGCGAAGAGTTAGGGGTGACATGATAGAGGTTTACAAGTGGATGAATGGACATAACAGGGGGGATATTAATAGGGTATTAAAAATATCAACACAAGACAGAACACGAAACAATGGGTATAAATTGGATAAGTTTAGATTTAGGAAAGACTTGGGTAAATACTGGTTCAGTAACAGGGTTGTTGATTTGTGGAACCAATTGCCGCGTAACGTGGTGGAGGTGGTGTCCCTCGATTGTTTCAAGCGCGGGTTGGACAAGTATATGAGTGAGATTGGGTGGTTATAGAATAGGAGCTGCCTCGTATGGGCCAATAGGCCTTCTGCAGTTACCTTTGTTCTTATGTTCTTATGAATTACAGTACCTATTTTCACCTTCATAGTATTCCACCTTATGCTGCTAACTCTCACAATATCTTGTGCTACCGACTCTGAATATTACTCTAGAAATTTATCAGTATAATTTATTTTATAAATTTATGCTAAGGTAGTCATTATGTGAATTTAAATTCTGTTCCAATGTACAGTACTTATCATTACATTTATTGGTTAGCTTAAGCACCTGCCAAAAACACCATGCATGTTAGCGGCTTTGTAAGAATGTACCACTTAATCACGAATGTATGTACGGGTACTGTACTTTCACAACCCACTGTATCTTCTTGTTCATAAATACATAAAATTAACATCTATGTCTACCATTTCATTACTATTTTTTTTTTTTTAGAAAAAATCTTTACACCATTGAGAATTAAAAAAATTACCAATAGTTACTTACATTCCACCCATCCATAATGATATGAGAAAGAGTAGATAGAGCAGTCGCTTAATCATCTTTTACGTTGCCAGCGTTAATGAAATTGAATCTGAGAAAAGGAAAAAATATTTTGAAGTCCTAGAGAACAGTAAATAGTAAAAATACACTCAATCATGCTGTATCTGAACAACTTGGGACTGTCTCCACCATTTTGTGTCTGAGAAACTAGCCAGGTCACCTCAAATTGTGTGTAAAAATATTGCATCAAGTGTAATAGAATTCACTTTTCTGAACAGTGCCTATGCCTTGGTACTTATACCACCAGAACAAGCTTCTTGATGACCATTTCTGGGGGTACACAATTCTTGAGCGAAGGTACCCAACTTGCTTTTAACCTAACCTATACTTAACAGATCATTGGATATTTATTTATTTATATACAAGAGGGTACATTGGGTTGAGAAAGTACATACAGTGAGGTTTGAGTGTAACATTCTTGCAAAGCTACCAACAAGCATATTATTTCAGGCACGTCCTTAATCCAAATTTTCCCCGGAATACAACCCACCAAATCGTTTGACAACCAGGTACCCATTCACTGCTGGGGGGGTGGGGGTAAACAGAGGCTTCAGTTAAGGATTGGTGCCCAGTATATCCTCCCCGGCCAGGATACGAACCCAGAGTAAAGCACTAATGAAACGCTGGGCGAGTGTGTTAACACTGCGCCACAGGGACTGCGCATTAATGTTAAGTTAAATGTTAACATTAAGTTAAGCTTTAAGTTAAACATAATAACTACACTAAATAACTAAGTTCTAGATATTAATGTTTTTCTTGCCCGAAACGCATTGCGTAATAGTGGCTTTAGGCATTGTATGTACTAGCTCTATCTATATATCAATCCATTAATGTAACATCACTTGTATGTATGTACCTTACCTGAATAAACATATTTATTTATTTATTTATTTACATCACAAACTGATAGAATATATTGTTGAAGTTGAATGTTTTAAGTACTGTACTAAATTGGGCATGTTGGGTAGCACAAGATGGAAAACTATGAAGATGAAATTAAGTACTTATTGCCTTTACTTTTGAATAATGTATGGGTTGAAGAATTTTTAATTCATTAGGGAGGTAACCTCAAGGGAGCGAGTTCAATAGACTGGGTCCTTTATTTGCATGGAGTATTTGCACAAATTTAGTGTGACTCTAGGAATATCAGACATTTATTTCTGGTGTGGTTCTCATGAGTTCTATTACATCTGTCAAGAGTTTGAGATCAGAATTAGCATTTAGGAATGAGTAAGTAATTATCAAAAGAAGGTGCCAAGCTAGGAAGACTATGTAGCCATTTAGAATAAGGTTTTATACATGTAACTAGCACAAGAGAAGGTGTGGAGAAAATGCATATTTAGCATGATTAGGTTGTATTTGTACACAATAAGCACTTGATGTGGTAATTAAGAGCAGATTATAATATATATTCACTTGCCAGTTTTATTACATTAATATATTTTTGGAATACACAAAATGCTATCATAGCAATGGGCCAATAAATGTATAGTATTAAAATAGCCAAATCACCCAACCCGATAGCAACAGGGGTCACAAGACCACTGTTTATATAGTAAACAAATTAAGAATGACTTACTCGCCATTTATTTTTTAGCTTCAAAATTATCATTCACATTAATAATGCCTATACATTCTGATTAAAAACCACGAGCTTCTTACTTCAAGATCCAGAGGAGAGGAGAGCTGTAGGTGAGATATGAGACAAGGGTCGTCGCCCTGTTGACTCACACAACCCAACTATGGCCCATGTAAGGTTTCCCAACACTGTGCGAGCATTTTGAGGCACTATTTTGTTGAAATTAACAGACCTAGGTATACACAGCAATGTGCTGCTGGCCTATTCTAGATGGCGGGTTACAGAGTGCAAGTATCAATATATTAGTGGACTTATTAAATATACATTCTTTTTAACAATTATTAAACCAATGTATAAGTCTTTGGTAATTGTTTTCAATAACATTATTATTATTATTATTATTATTATTAATATTATTATTATTATTATTATTATTATTATTATTATTATTATTATTATTATTATTATTATTATTATTATTATTATTATTATTATTATTATTATTATTATTATTATTATTATTATTATTATATCTGTAATGAACTTAAAATCACTAACAAATGTAGTTTCTAAATCTAAATCCGCCGAAGCCGTAAATGTCAAAACTGTTGTATTTTAAAATCCAACTGGATTCAATTTCTATCTTTATTATGCACCCCATACCCATCCCGTGGGCGGTGGTGTAAAGGATTACAGAGGCACATAATCGGTACAGGAACTGAACCCTCTAGTTCGTTTAGCTAAGCAAATAACAATGTTTGACGCTAGTTACAAAACTAACAATGTTGTATACACATGTACACACCCTCATACATACATGTACATATATATATACGTATACACATATACATACACATACATATCTAATCACCCACACAATTACACGCATCAATAATCTTTGTGTCACAAGTGACACAAAGAGGTGTCACAAGTGACATTACAAGAGGCTCACAAGTCACTATACGAGGCACTTTACATCTATAGTGAGTCACACAGTTACTAGTCTTGCTGCACACCCACCCAACTGGGCGGCAGCTTTACAGTCATGTGCATGCATTACCTACAGTAAACAAATTTTGGATACTTCGCTAAAATTTCGGGCAGCACATCATTATGAATGAAGTACTTACACATTTCTTGGACACTATTGATGGTGTTATCTCTAAATTCCGCATTTTTTTCACATTCCATTATATAATGACGCAAAGTATGCGAATAGTTCTGCTGGCAGAGTTTACATTTAGTCAAATCTACATCAGCAGATGTTACAAATTCCCAGAGGTACTTGTAGCCGAGCCTAAGCCTAGCAGTGGTAACATCTAGAAGTCTGCTAACATTATTGGATGACCCATAGACGTGCGGTTCTTCATGCATAATAGAATGATGATAGATGGAGTAACTGATGTGAATTTCACTTTGCCTCGGGTCTCCGAAATTTAGTTGATGTTCCTGGGATATTGCTGCCCTCAGGCTGCTCAAAGGCAGTCGAAGTTGGTAATCAATTCCCTCTTTATGAGCAAAAGTCTTGGCTAGCTCATCAGTTCTATCATGCATTCGGAGACCAATATGGGAAGGAATCCACAGGAGACAAACTCTGACTCCATCATTGATTATTTCACTATATCTGTGTCTAGCTTCAGAGATAAGCACGTCACAGTTATGCCTTGGGGAGCTGAGGGCAGTCAAGGATGACAAGGAGTCACAATTAGCGTGTCAACTTTGGATTCATATACGCGTTCTAGTGCAAGGATTGTGGCAACCAATTCTGTTTGAAGAGTGGAGGCCCAGTTACTTAGACGCGCTCCACACTCATGGGAGATGGAACCATCTCTCCATGTCACAACAACTGCACTTCCAGCTGCACCATAGGACTGATGCAAGGATCCATCAGTGTAAATAATCTGGGAAAGGGAGCGCTCTCTGACTAAAGCATCATTTTGGCTTAAGGCATTGTACTTTGCTTCTTGTCGAAGCAAGGACTGTTCTTTAATCAGCTTCTTGGGTGGGAAAGGGGGGACAGTAATTTGGAAAGGAGTGATCTCCCATAGGACAGGAAAGTGTTGTTGTTGTCTCTCTTGGTAGGGGTGATGAAAGTTATACATTCTGAGCACATTGGCAGTTACGGTAATCCATTTGGAGGGATGCTGATCTTCAAGGAAGAAGGCTTGGAGGGCTTCAGTGCAGGGGTTAGGGTGGGTTAGCCTAAGCACCTTGATACCAATTAAAGCATTAATTTCAGTGATACGATCACTTACACATGAAATATTCAGTTCCTTCCTAATGTTTAGTAATTTAGTTGTACGGGGGCATCCGAGGATAATCCTCATGGCTTCGTTTTGCATCTTTTCCAGCCCTCCAAGCATTCTTTCAGGCACTAGAGCAAGCATGGGTGCAGCATAATCAATCAGAGACCTAATATATGAGAGATACATTATTTTGACACTTCTCACATTTGCACCATAGCTTGGACCTGTCACAGCCTTGAGAGCACGGAGCCTCTCTCTACATTGGCGACCCAGTCTGGCTACAACATTGCGGTACAGTGGAACTTCAAGACCAAGGTATTTGTATCTGGTTACATAGTCGAGCAGAGAGCCATCATGCAACTGCATTTTGCGAACTGCAGACATGGGTTGACAATAGAGGAGTGAGGTAGGTTACAGGGAATTTATTAGGTAGTGTTTAGTTTTTATCTTAAACTGGTTGAGAGAGGTACAGTCTTTAACATGGTTGGGAAGGTCATTCCACATTCTGGGTCCCTTGATTTGTAGAGCATTTCTAGTTTGATTAAGTCGTACTCTAGGAATATCAAAACTGTATTTATTTCTGGTGTGGTGCTCATGGGTTCTGTTACAACCTTCAATGAAGCTTTTGAGGTCAGGATTGGCATTACAGTTCAGCGTTTTATATATGTATAATACACAAGAGAGAATGTGCAGTGACTTAATAACTAACATATTCAGAGATTTGAGTAAGGGTACCGAGTGATGTCTGGGGCCAGAGTTGGATATTGTCCTAATAGCAGCTTTGTGTTGGGTAATAAGAGGACGTAAATGATTTTGGGTATTAGAACCCCAAGCACAAATACCATAGTTGAGGTATGGATAGATGAGGGAGTAATAGAGAGTAACCAGGGCAGGGCGGGGTACATAATATCTGATCTTAGAAAGAATGCCAACAGTTTTTGAAACTTTTTTTGATATATTTAGAATGTGACCCTGGAAATTCAGCTTGTGGTCGATGAGAACGCCAAGGAATTTGCCATCTAATTTGTTACAAATTTGGGTATTGTTTATTTTGAGATTTATCTGATTAGAGGATTTATTGCCAAACAGAATATAAAACGTTTTGTCAATGTTAAGGGTGAGTTTGTTGGCAGTTAGCCAAAGATGGACTTTCTCTAGCTCAGTATTTACTGTGGCATTTAGAGCAAGGGGGTCAGGACTGGAGTAAATGAAGGTTGTGTCGTCAGCAAATAGAATTGGTTTGAGGTGTTGGGAGGCATTTGGAAGGTCATTAATGTAGATGAGAAAGAGGAGAGGGCCAAGTATGCTGCCCTGAGGAACACCAATGTTGATGGGTAGGGTGGGAGAAATTGTATTATTCACAGAAACATACTGGAGCCTGTCAGTAAGATAAGATTTGAGGTATTGCAGGGAGTGTCCTCTGACCCCATAATGATGTTATTTAAGAAGAAGGTTTTGATGGTTGACAGTGTCAAAAGCCTTACGCAGGTCCACAAATAACCCAACAGGAAACTCCTTTTTATCAAGAGCTGCGTGAATTAAGTTAATCATACTAATAAGTGCATCGTTAGTGCTTTTTTTGGGTCTGAAGCCATATTGACAAGAGCTAAGTATATTGTGTTTGGCTAGAAAAGAGTAAAGCTGCTTGTAGATTAGTTTTTCGAATATTTTTGACAAGTTAGGCAGGATTGATATAGGTCTGTAGTTGTTAACATCTGTGAGATCACCACATTTGTGGATAGGGGTTACTCTTGCTTTTTTTTAGAATGTCAGGAAAGGTTTGGAGTTCAAGTGACTTGTTGAAGAGCAATGCAATAGCAGGGGCTAGAGATCTGGAGGCTTTTTTGTAAATTAAAGTTGGTATCTCCTCGAGGGCACTAGACTTGGTTTTAAGGGAAAGGATTATTTCATTGACATCAGTGGGCATTAAGTTTTAGTCTTAGTGTTTTTCCTGCCCGAAACGCTCTGCATAATAGTGGCTTTAGGCATTGTGTGTACTAGCTCTACTACTAGTTGTGAAAATATGTCGACATATTTGTATTTGTGCTGCTTTTTCATCTATGTTTTCATTTCTTGTTTTCATATACTCATTATGCTCAATTAGTATTAAGCTTGTCATTTAAGTTTATCATGCCCGAAACGCTTTGCGTAATAGTGGCTTTAGGCATTGTATGTACTAGCTCTACCTATAAGTCAACCAATCTTTGTAAAAATTTATTGTATGTATGTACCTTACCTAAATAAAATATTATTATTATTATTATTATTATTTTTATTTGTATTTGCACGTATGCATATACGAAACGTCCAAAGCTGGTGTTCGAAATGGTAAAAATATTAGTGCGCGATGTGGTCTTGGTACCAAGTGTCTTGGTAGAGATAGCGGGTGTGAGCTGTGAGGCTGGAGGTGTGTCCAGTGTGCTGCTGGGAGCCAACGAGCGAGCAAGATGGAAGGTAAAGTGTATCTCACCGAGGAGCCGGCCTACAACCGCCTCCAAGAATATTTCAATACAAATGGAAGCAAGCTTAATATTCTTAAGATGTTCAGTGATCCAGACAGGTTCAACAAATACAGGTAAAAGTTACTGCAATATGTTTCCTCTTTTAGTAATAATAACCACTGTATTACAGTACATATTTGTATTTCAGGTCTAGCGAATGCTATTGTATATTCCTCCTGTAGTCATTCCAAGTTTGAAGAGGTTGTATACTAGGATCTAGTGAAGGAGAAGTGGCTGTTAAGAGACATATGTCCTTCACGCACTGTAGGTCACCTCCAGAACGTCCTTGGTCGCCCTTGAAAATATCGGAGGGGGGGGGGGGGCGGGGCAGTCATTGATTTTATTTTTGATTTGAAATATACATTATTCCTGGAGAATTTTAATGGGAGATTCTATCAAACTTAAATATAGATTAATGCATTTTAGTTTAGTTCATAATTTTGTGTTTGCCTATGTAAGTGGAGAGATTTAGAGGCACATAATGCTGTTGGGATAGTTCAATATTGTGCTTTTTTTTTTTTTTTTTTTTTTTAATTGACAAAATTTGCTATAGACAGCAATGTGCTGCTACGCTATTCTATATGAGATATTACACAGTGTAGATCAAGAACTAGCTTTGTCATGGGTTCGTATCCTGGCCGGGGAGGATTTACTGGGCGCAAATCCTTAACTGTAGCCTCTGTTTAACTCAACAGTAAAATGTGGACGTGGTTGTAACAACGATTCTTCGCGGTGGGGATCGTATTCCAGGGACCTGCCCGAAATGCTACGCGTACTAGTGGCTGTACAAGAATGTAACAACTCTTGTATATATCTCAAAAGAAAAAAAAAAAAAAAAAAAAAAAAAAAAAAAAAAACTATAGGTTCAGCTATTATTCCCATCTCACAGGATGGTTAGTCATGCATGGAATCAGTGGAGAAAATACCAGCCTCAATACAAAAATGAATCAACTATGACTAAAAATTAGGTGAGAACATAAAATGTAAGGCAACCAACTAGGAAGGAGAACACGCTGGACCTCATTTTCACTAATAATGATGAATTGATCAGGAACATAATGATTACAAATACCTGTTACTCAGATCACAACTTAATTGAAGTTATGACAACCATGGGGAGTAGACCTTCAAAACCAGTCCAGATTCCCGGTGGAGGAGTTTTCAGCAAATTCAACTTCAATAATAAACAGATAAACTGGGAGCGAATAAACCAGGACTTCACAGAAATAAACTGGGAAGAACAGCTAGGAAATGCAAACCTGAACCAGTGCCTGGAAAAAATAAGCTCAGTAGCACTAGAAATATGTTCAAACCGCATACCTCTAAGAAAAAAGAGGAAGAGATGCAGATTGGAACGGGAACGTCGTTCCCTATATAGGCGAAGAAAACGAATCGCGGAACAACTTGAGAGTCGCACCCTATCTCAAGAACGGCGAAGAAGGTTAGGTAGAGAAATAGAAACAATTGAACGGAAGCTACAAGAATCATACAGAACCCAGGAGAGGCAAAGAGAGCAAAAGGCCATCAGTGAAATAGAAAGAAATCCGAAATATTTTTTCTCCTATGCAAAATCAAGATCAAAAACCACATCTAGTATCGGGCCCCTGCGAAAGGGAGATGGAACTTTCACCGATGACAACAAAGAAATGAGCGAGCTACTGAGGACGCAGTACGACTCTGTTTTCAGCGAGCCATTAAACACACTAAAGATTGAGAACTCAAATGAATTTTTCATGGATACGATACCAACATCAAATCATATATCAGACGTCACCCTATCCCCACTGGATTTTGAAGAAGCCATAAACAGTATGCCTATGCACTCTGCACCAGGCCCAGATTCTTGGAACTCCATATTCATAAAGAACTGTAAAAAACCACTATCGCAGGCCCTCCACATTCTGTGGAGACAAAGCCTAGATACTGGCGTTATTCCTGATATACTAAAAACAGCAGAGATAGCACCACTTCATAAAGGAGGAAATAAGGCAGAGGCAAAAAATTACAGACCGATAGCGCTAACATCGCACATCATAAAAATTTTTGAGAGAGTGCTAAGAAGTAAAATCACAAAATACATGGAATCACAGCAACTCCATAACCCCGGACAACATGGTTTCAGAACAGGGCGCTCTTGCCTGTCGCAGTTGCTGGACCACTATGATATGGCATTAGATGCTATGGAAGACAAACATAACGCGGATGTAATTTACACAGATTTCGCAAAAGCTTTTGATAAATGTGACCATGGTGTTATTGCACATAAAATGCGTTCAAAAGGAATTACCGGAAAAATAGGCAGATGGATCTACAATTTCCTGACCAACAGAACCCAATGTGTAATGGTCAACAAAATAAAATCCAGCCCATCAACCGTGAAGAGCTCAGTCCCCCAGGGTACTGTACTTGCTCCAGTACTTTTTCTCATCCTCATTTCGGACATAGACAAGAACACAACCTATAGCACTGTATCATCCTTTGCAGATGACACTAGGATCTTCATGAGAGTAGGCAACATAGAGGACACGGCGAACCTCCAGTCAGATATAGATCAGGTCTTTCTATGAGCTACAGAAAATAATATGGTGTTTAACGAAGATAAGTTCCAGCTCATGCGCTATGGAAAAAATGAAAATATAAAAACGGATACCACGTACAAAACTCAGGCAAATCATAACATAGAACGAAAAGGCAATGTAAAGGATCTGGGTGTACTCATGTCGGAAGACCTTACCTTTAAAGAACACAATAAAGTAGCCGTCACAACTGCAAGAAAAATGACAGGTTGGATAACAAGAACTTTTCACACTAGAGATGCTATACCGATGTTGATACTTTTCAAAACGCTTGTGCTCTCTAGAGTAGAGTACTGCTGCACAATGACAGCACCTTTCAAAGCTGGAGAAATTACTGACCTGGAGAGCGTGCAGAGATCCTTTACTGCTAGAATCCACTCGGTAAAACATCTAAACTATTGGGACCGACTAAAGAGCCTAAAACTGTACTCCCTTGAGCGCAGGCGGGAGAGGTACATAATAATTTACACGTGGAAAATATTAGAGGGGCTGGTCCCAAACCTGCACACAGAAATAACATCACATGAGACCAGAAGACATGGCAGGATGTGCAGAATACCCCCGTTGAAAAACAGAGGTGCAACTGGTACTCTGAGAGAGAACTCTATCAACATCAGAGGTCCGAGACTGTTCAACACGCTTCCACTACACATAAGGGGCATAACTGGCCGACCCCTCACAGTGTTCAAGAGAGAACTGGATAAGCACCTCCAAAGGATACCTGATCAACCAGGCTGTGACTCGTACGTCAGGCTGCGAGCAGCCGCGTCCAACAGCCTGGTTGATCAGTCCGGCAACCAGGAGGCCTGGTCGACGACCGGGCCGCGGGGACGCTAAGCCCCGGAAGCACCTCAAGGTAACCTCAAGGTAAGGCTGATCCATTAGCCCTCGCTAGCAAAATCAGGATACAACACAAGAATATCTTCCAATATTCCTGAGTGTATGAAGTAATTACAGAGCTCAAAGTAAAGTTTAAGAAAGTTACAGCAAGTAGTCATACAATGCTTCTGGCAATAAATGTTGTTGACTTTTGGTTGACCGAACATTTTGATAAAAACTGGAGATTATACTTTGTGTGTGTGTGTGTGTATATATATAATATATATACAGTATATACAGTGGCACCTCGACTTACGATTGCCCCTACTTACGATAATTTCGAGTTACGATGTAAATTTCATCGAAAAATGCGACTCGACATCCAATGGTGTCGTTGACTTCCGATATTTGTTGGTACATGTTCGGGTCGACCGAGCACGTGGTTCCCGGTCATGCGGCCGACCTGCCCCAGTTTACAACAGCTGCCTGCTTAGTGACGATCGCGCCTATAAGAAATTTCGCTTTTGTGGTGATTTTTTGCATTTTGAACATTAAAGTAATTATTATATATCACGCCATGAGTCCCAGGAAAGTCAGTGGTAAGGCTCAACATATGAGATCCCACGTAAGGATGACCATAAAGCAGAAACAAGAGATCATTTGTAAATATGAAGATGGTGTGTGGGTTGTTGGACTGGCTAGGCAGTACAACAAATCTCAGTCAAAGATATCCACCATACTGGCTAAGAAAAAGGACATTATGGGTACTAAAGTGCTGCATCATTACAGACAAATGTTAAAACGAAGGGAAAAACAAATGTCTCTTGACAAATTTGTAGTGAGACAAACAAGCACTGAACCACAACCAGGTCCTAGTGGTATCCAGGCAAAACATAGGAGAGTGAGTACCCCAGAGAAAACATCACTGCCTGATGTGATAATGGAAGGGGGACTCCCCTTCCAAACAGTAACAACTCTCCTCCTCCCCCCTCATCACCATCTTCCATATGCCATCAAGAGCCCTCCATAAAGGTAAGATAAACTTAGGTACTGTATTGTAGTTAGAAAAAAACATTGTATTCAGTATAAAATGTATTTGTATGTTAATATTTTGGAGGGTGGGGAACGGATTAATTCAAATCCCCTTATTTCTTATGGGAAAAATCGCTTCGACTTATGATCCATCTCTGGGAACGGATTAGCATCGTAAGTCGAGGCCCCATTGTATGTATTTATATATTATACTATAGGTAATTTGTAGCAAAATTGAAAAATGTTAACAGGTACATTGTAAGAAAATTCAAAGAAAATTAGTAGGTATATTGCAGTGAAATTTGAGGATTATCAACATGTATGTACATTGTAGCATAATTTGAGGATTATTTCTAGATACATTGTAGTAAAATTTGTATTCAGCATAACAATGATATAAGTTGATGGCAGTGAATACAACCAACAATGAACTTGTATGGCTTAGGCACATATACAGTATTGGGGAAGTGGGTAGAACAAGATACAGTGTGAGTTTAAATCACCAGGTAGGAAACTATGAGGATGAAATTAGGTACATTTTGGTTTTATTTTTTAATAAGGCATAGGTTGGACAGCTTTTTAATGTTAGGGAGTAAGTTCCACAGACTAAGTTCCCTTTATTTGCATAGTGTTTACACAGATTTTGTTTGACTAGGGATATCGGAGACAATTATTTCCGGTATGGTGATTATGGGTTCTATTACAACTGGCGTATGAGTAGGTTGTAAAGCCTGCAGAAAGCTATAACAATTTTCATCAGCAAAGTTACACACTGATATAGTCTTTGAGAAATTTTATTATTGTAAGGAACCAAAAGAACCCTTTTTTAACCTAAAAAGTTATTTGGGCATTGCTTAATTAGTCAGTGAGTGAGAACAAACTATTGCTGGATTCAAAAGACTGAAGTTTCAAAACCTACCTAAGGAATGCCCCCTAACTAGATAAATAATCAAATTCTCTCAGAACCTGTATGAGCGTGTTCGCCCCACCTTCGCCACTGTTCGGAGGAGAAAAGGAAGTAGCTCACTGGGGATGGGTTGAATCGTATATAACCCTTTTGGTTACCGTCTGTGGGGAAATCTGGCTCCAGTATAATACTAAGAAAATGTATAATTATGGGAATGTAAAATAATGATAAATTCTAAGATAGCTCGAAGGACCAGAATCAGAATGAGAAAATCAGTGGCTTATAGATCTATGATTATATAAATAAATTCTATTAATTAAGCAATGACTGTAAATTATATAATTCTAGAGCCAGCCTCCCATGACACATTTTAGGGGGGTATTCTATAAGATTAATCTATGTATAACATATTATGCAATAATAAGAATAAATATAATATACACACACATAGATAATAAGTAAAATATGTAATGCAAAAAATACTACTGCAATGTGAAGATTAATAATGCATAAATGGCAGTATCAGATAGATAGATATATATATGGACTCTGAATAATAAGGTACTATCTACAATGAAAACTGATTCTCAGCTGTGACTGGGGATGTAGATGCAGTCCACTGTACGTCAGGCTGGAAGCGGTTTGAGATAGTGTTACTTGGCACACGTGAGGGTATGGCGGTCACACGCTTCCTCAGGGGTGTTGCACCATGCTGCAATAATGATAATTCCGTAATTTCCACCCCAAACTAGCATTTACACACACATAAGGTAATATCTAAATATTTGGAGGGGAAAGAACTGCACTTACATGGAATTTTGGGTACGCCCGCAGCGTGACGACATGGCTACCTATATTAATCATATTTAAGAGCTCTATAAATATTAATAAAAGGTAAAATGCCTGCCGAACTGGTGTCCATGATTCTGGTAAGCTGCGTCCTCAATCTGGCATCGAGGGATGTTCGGATGCCGGCTGGATGAGCAGATTTTTTGGACCGCTTACGGAACACCACGCTTCTTGTTGGTAATGGCGAGAGTCCTCTCTTCTCCCTCCCCAAAGTCGCGCATGCGCAATAGCTCGCCGTGAGGATTCGAGCATAAATTATAATTATTTATTAACGCTAAATAGGGAAGGGGGCGTGTATGAACACTCTTGATGGTTCAGATAAATTCTCTATGCGGTGATGTTTAATTCTTACAGTGCACGTCAGTTAATGTAGACGGCACAAATAAAACAATACGGGCTTGGTGGTGGAAATGATGTTAGATTATGATATGATTTACTGGAACAGCGATTAAGCTGGGTAAAGAAATTCCAGTAAACTATTGTATACTAAAAGTAAACCTATTACTAAATTATTATTCCTAATACAGTAAAGGAAAGTAAATGGTTACATTGGTGTTAGATCTACAGGTATGTGGAAATTTTATCCCCCGTGCGTGGCTGACGCAACACTACACAATTCTAGGAGAAATTATATGATGTTCCACAACCTAATACAGTAAATTCTACAATACTAAACTACGTATTAGTAGTGTTAGTCAATTATTACTCTTAATACAGGAAATACATCCTGTTGTATTAAGGATTATTAAATGAACATTAGACGAGTATGAAGCCTAATACAGGAAATACATCCTGTTGTATTAGGGATGAGAATAACTGTTGGAAATTTCCAACACCGTCGGTTCAGTTCACATTCAAGTTTGTATGCATGAATACTTTCGTATATACACATGCGCTGGTTTGTGTTCGCTACAGTTCTTGTCTTCCAAGACACTATTATGACCAAAACCAGATAATGTAAGTTGATAATAAGTTAAGAATATGAATAAATACATGGGACTTTATCATATAATGAGCACATGTCTTCAGATAATATTTGTTAGGTTCTTTTAATTTATCCTTATACAATTTAATGAATAAAATAAGATTTTCTGCCCTAACATCTTTATACTGTATTATGATGATCACATCAACATATCTACACTAAAATCAGTGGGCACATATATTAAATAAAGGCTGACTTGTGTTTAGCACACTGTTTGTGCTACTGTGTTAACAGAGCGCAGTCTTATCATTTATTTATTTTATTTATTTGTATTTATTTTTATTTATTTTATTTATACAAGAAGGTACATAGGGTTTGAGATTACATAACATTGATGTTTTTACATTCTTGCAAAGGCACTAACATATACAGCGTTTCGGGCAATGTGGAGAAGTTTCGGGATTCAGAGAAGATGCATTTTTTTATTAGCATAATAAGGTGCGTGTTGTGTAGGATGGGTGGGAGTGGGTGAGGTATAGGAAGGATGGGTGGGGGTAAGGTATAGGGAGGGTTGGGGTGGGTGAGATTGGGTGAGGTATAGGAAGGATGGGGGGGGGTGAGAGTGGGTGAGGTATAGGGAGGATGGGGGGGGTGAGAGTGGGTGAGGTATAGGAAGGATGGGGGGGGGTGAGAGTGGGTGAGGTATAGGGAGGATGGGTGGGGGGGGGTGAGAGTGGGTGAGGTATAGGAAGGATGGGGGGGGGGGTGAGAGTGGGTGAGGTATAGGGAGGATGGGGGGGGTGAGAGTGGGTGAGGTATAGGAAGGATGGGGGGGGTGAGAGTGGGTGAGGTATAGGGAGGATGGGGGTGGGTGGGTGAGAGTGGGTGAGGTATAGGGAGGATGGGGGTGGGTTGGTGAGAGTGGGTGAGGTATAGGGAGGATGGGTGGGGGGGTGAGAGTGGGTGAGGTATAGGGAGGATGGGGGGGGGGTGAGAGTGGGTGAGGTATAGGGAGGATGGATGGGGGGGTGAGAGTGGGTGAGGTATAGGGAGGATGGGTGGGGGGGGGGTGAGAGTGGGTGAGGTATACGAAGGATGGGTGGGGGGGGGGGGCAAGAGTGGGTGAGGTATACGAAGGATGGGTGGGGGGGTGTGAGTGGGTGAGGTATACGAAGGATGGGTGGGGGGTGAGAGTGGGTGAGGTATAGGAAGGATGGGTGGGAGAAAAATTTTGCATATGCTCTGACAATGGCTCAATATAAACATTATTTTATTTCAGTATTACTTTGACAACCCCTGATGATGGAAGCATTTTGTTTGACTACAGTAAAAATCGCATCAATGATGAAGTTTTGAAACTTTTGATGGACTTGGTGAGTTTTTATGTATTACCCTGTATTACAATATTAGTTATTTGTGAATGTGACATATTTCACATTATTTTTGTATAATTTTTTAAGTTTTGTGTATAAACGGGCAGGGCATGACCCATTTTCTGTAGCTACTCGCCAATTGTTATATGTACTGTACTGTACTTTAGGTTTATTGTGAAAATGTTTTGCTATACTATTCTGTAATCATGCCCAAACTGCTTTGCTTACTAGTGGTATTATTAAGAGTACGTTTATATAATTTACTGATTTATCCACTGTATCATGTTCTGTGTTTTTTAATAAAATTGATTATAACAAATTTGTATATGCTTTACATTGGTTGTAGGCTCTAAAAAATTATGGTAAAAAAGTTTACTAATAAAATCTTTACAACTTCAGGCACGAGCTCGCAGAATTGAAGAATCTAGAGATGCCATGTTCACAGGAGAGAAGATCAATTTTACTGAAGACAGAGCAGTGTTGCACATTGCTCTCCGTAACCGGTCTAATAGTCCAATAATGGTCAATGGAGAAGATGTCATGCCTGGTGTCAATTCAGTTTTGGATCACATGAAAGACTTCTGTGGAAAGGTATGACATGAATGCATTAACACTGCAGCACAAACATGCACATGCTAAAATGTGTACTCACCTAGTTGTACTCACCTAGTTGTGTTTGCGGGGGTTGAGCTCTGGCTCTTTGGTCCCGCCTCTCAACCGTCAATCAACAGGTGTACAGATTCCTGAGCCTATTGGGCTCTGTCATATCTACACTTGAAACTGTGTATGGAGTCAGCCTCCACCACATCACCCCCTAATGCATTCCATTTGTCAACCACTCTGACACTAAAAAAGTTCTTTCTAATATCTCTGTGGCTCATTTGGGCACTCAGTTTCCACCTGTGTCCCCTTGTGCGTGTTCCCCTTGTGTTAAATAGACTGTCTTTATCTACCCTATCAATCCCCTTCAGAATCTTGAATGTGGTGATCATGTCCCCCCTAACTCTTCTGTCTTCCAGCGAAGTGAGGTTTAATTCCCGTAGTCTCTCCTCGTAGCTCATACCTCTCAGCTCGGGTACTAGTCTGGTGGCAAACCTTTGAACCTTTTCCAGTTTAGTCTTATCCTTGACTAGATATGGACTCCATGCTGGGGCTGCATACTCCAGGATTGGCCTGACATATGTGGTATACAAAGTTCTGAATGATTCTTTACACAAGTTTCTGAATGCCGTTCGTATGTTGGCCAGCCTGGCATATGCCGCTGATGTTATCCGCTTGATATGTGCTGCAGGAGACAGGTCTGGCGTGATATCAACCCCCAAGTCTTTTTCCTTCTCTGACTCCTGAAGAATTTCCTCTCCCAAATGATACCTTGTATCTGGCCTCCTGCTCCCTACACCTATCTTCATTACATTACATTTGGTTGGGTTAAACTCTAACAACCATTTGTTCGACCATTCCTTCGGCTTGTCTAGGTCTTCTTGAAGCCTCAAACAGTCCTCTTCTGTTTTAATCCTTCTCATAATTTTAGCATCGTCCGCAAACATTGAGAGAAATGAATCGATACCCTCCGGGAGATCATTTACATATATCAGAAACAAGATAGGACCGAGTACAGAGCCCTGTGGGACTCCACTGGTGACTTCACGCCAATCGGAGGTCTCACCCCTCACCGTAACTCTCTGCTTCCTATTGCTTAGATACTCCCTTATCCACTGGAGCACCTTACCAGCTACACCTGCCTGTCTCTCCAGCTTATGTACCAGCCTCTTATGCGGTACTGTGTCAAAGGCTTTCCGACAATCCAAGAAAATACAGTCCGCCCAGCCCTCTCTTTCTTGCTTAATCTGTGTCACCTGATCGTAGAATTCTATCAAGCCTGTAAGGCAAGATTTACCCTCCCTGAATCCATGTTGGCGATTTGTCACGAAGTCCCTTCTCTCCAGATGTGTTACCAGGTTTTTTCTCACGATCTTCTCCATCACCTTGCATGGTATACAAGTCAAGGACACTGGCCTGTAGTTCAGTGCCTCTTGTCTGTCGCCCTTTTTGTATATTGGGACCACATTCGCCGTCTTCCATATTTCTGGTAGGTCTCCCGTCTCTAGTGATTTACTATACACTATGGAGAGTGGCAAGCAAAGTGCCTCTGCACACTCTTTCAGTACCCATGGTGAGATCCCATCTGGACCAACCGCCTTTCTAACATCCAGATCCAGCAGGTGTCTCTTGACCTCCTCTCTCGTAATTTCGAACTCCTCCAAGGCCGCCTGGTTTACCTCCCTTTCTCCTAGCACAGTGACCTCACCCTGTTCTATTGTGAAGACCTCCTGGAACCTCTTGTTGAGTTCCTCACACACCTCTCTGTCATTCTCTGTATACCTGTCCTCGCCTGTTCTAAGTTTCAATACCTGTTCTTTCACTGTTGTTTTCCTTCTGATGTGACTGTGGAGTAGCTTTGGTTCGGTCTTGGCTTTGTTTGCTATATCATTTTCAAAATTTTTCTCTGCTTCTCTTCTCACCCTGACGTACTCATTCCTGGTTCTCTGGTATCTCTCCCTGCTTTCTGGTGTTCTGTTATTCCGGAAGTTCCTCCACGCCTTTTTGTTCAGTTTCTTCGCTTCCATACATGCCCTATTATACCATGGATTCTTCTGTTGCTTCTCGGATTTTTCCCTTTGGGCCGGGATGAACCTGTTTACTGCCTCCTGACACTTTTGGGTAACATAGTCCATCATACCCTGTACAGACTTGTCTCTGAGGTCTGTGTCCCAAGGTATTTCACTTAGGAAACTTCTCATCTGTTCATAATTCCCCTTTCGGTATGCCAGCCTTTTGATTCCTAGTTCTTTTTGGGGGGAGATAAGTCCTAGCTCTACCAGGTACTCAAAGTTCAATACACTGTGGTCACTCATTCCCAAGGGCGCTTCCATCTTAACTTCCCTTATATCCCATTCATTTAGGGTAAATATCAAATCAAGCATTGCTGGTTCATCTTCTCCTCTCATTCTTGTTGGCTCTTTGGTATGCTGGCTTAGAAAGTTTCTTGTTGCCACGTCCAGCAGCTTAGCTCTCCATGTTTCTGGTCCTCCATGCGGGTCTCTGTTCTTCCAATCTATCTTCCCATGGTTGAAGTCTCCCATAATTAGTAGTCCAGATCCATTCCTGCTAGCAACAGAAGCTGCTCTTTCTATTATGTTAATGGTGGCCATGTTGTTTCTATCATATTCCTGTCTAGGTCTTCTGTCATTTGGTGGTGGATTATATATGACTGCGACTATAATTTTTTTCCCTCCATTTGTTACAGTACCTGCTATGTAGTCACTGAAACCTTCACAGCCCTGAATAACCACAGCCCTAGTGAAAGAAAATGAGGCATGGAAAGTGAAGTGTGGTGACTTTGAAGAAATAAACAAGAAAATAGACTCATATGGTGAACAACTCCAAGCAAGCCTAAGGGCTAACATAGAGTTAGGTAAGGATCTCCAACTGGAAACTTCACTGACAACTCACATAGAGGAGGTGAATAAAGAACTAGAAAAGTATAAAGAAGAAATAAAAGCGACATATGCTGAAGTTGTAAAAGAGAGAGAGACTATCAAAGAAGTGTGTTCGGAAGTCAAAACCAGAAATGACCAACAAGAAGCAGAAATTAGGCAAGCAATTAGGAAAGAACTGGTTACCAACAGTAAACTGGTACAAAACACTGCAGATAGAACTAAGTCCATAATCATTTTTGGATGTTTAGAGAAGGAAATTTCATCTAGGGTGGACCGAGCGGCAGAAGAGATGAAAATCATAGAGAAAATAGTAGGTTTAGGAGAAGGCTCAAAGGAAAATGTCAGTGATTTTAGAAGAATAGGAAAATATGAGAAAGAAAAGAACCGCCCCTTAAGGGTGACGTTTAATGGAGTGAAAAACATGATGGAAGTGCTAAGAAATGCCAGGAAACTGCAGAGTGATGAGGTAAAAAAATAAAATAAAAAATAAAACCTGGTTGTAGTGCACACCATCGGTGAAACCTTTGTTGTATGCAGTTGAAGGGTTATCTTGAGGTTATCTTGAGATGATTTCGGGGCTTTTTAGTGTCCCCGCGGCCCGGTCCTCGACCAGGCCTCCACCCCTAGGAAGCAGCCCGTGACAGCTGACTAACACCCAGGTACCTATTTTACTGCTAGGTAACAGGGGCATAAGGTGAAAGAAACTCTGCCCATTGTTTCTCAACGGTGCCTGGGATCGAACCCAGGACCACAGGATCACAAGTCCAGCATGCTGTCCGCTCAGCCGACCGGCCCCAGGGTTAAGGGTTAATCACACTTGAATACAACATTATTTTACATAATTAAAACCAAATGTACACAAAACACCCAAAAAGGAATCATTGTTGCATCTTTTGGTTTGGCCATGCTCAAATTAGTGTTTTCTTTCATTTTGAAACTTTTAACATCACCAAATTTGCCAGACACTTGTTTGACAAGGTGGGTGAGCAAAGTCAGCCTGTAAAGTGCACATTGCAACTGGAGATTCACTGAAGCAAGGGTGCATGTACTGTATTTGCATTTTTCTGTAAAGCCATTAATTACATTCATGGGCATAATTGGCATTCAAACATTAACCCTTAGTGCGCATCACGTCATATGACGTGTTGGACGTTGTTCCAGTCAACTGTGCATCACATCATATGATGTGTTGGAGTACTACGCAAGATTTAAACAGCCCGCGGATACATGGGGTTCACCACACCTTCATCAGGGCTCTTGTAAGCAGACGCCATTTAAAAAAAAAATCGTGGGCCAAACTCCCGGGTGTTATTGGCCTCAGTATTGAGTGAGCAACCAAGCCTGACGCACGCAGCATGAGCTAACAGCACTGCTGTTCAGCTTGTGACCACAGCATCGCCTAAAAATGCCAAAATATACTTGTTCATGCTATTATGTAGCGATGATATTATTACAGAAGGCCCCTGACTGTGATAAAACTGACCAGGGTTCTGATAATAGCAGGATTGTGGTGATATTTAGCGCTGTGCGCCTTGGAGGGAGGAGTAATGCTGTGGGAGGGAGGGTGGTGGCGATGTCTTCTGACTGTGTGTGGCCACCTTTTATTGACTGCACTCAGCATACCAGCTTAGTGGTTCGCTATGGTGAACACAAATGTAGATATTTATATATAACGTGTGTATAGAGGGTATAAACAGCAAGAGAAGGTTTGGAGCCGCCATTATGGTGAGGGCGGTGGCATCGTCTGCACGATGCCACCGTGCAGACGACGGTGTTGTTTACTGGTTACCACGATTTTCTTTGGGCACCATACCAGTTTATTTGTACAAGTATGGTGAATAAAACAGGTAGATATTTATATATGTGAGTATATAGCGTAATAACACCACACAGTATTGTTGGAGGAGAAATATTAGTGCGTCTGGCCTTGAGGGCGGCAGCCATCAACTGACTGTGTGAGGTCCTACGTCTTTGTGCCTTTACTCACCGTACAAGCTTAGATGTACAGTTATGGTGAACAAAACATGTAGATACTTATATATAACGTCTGTATATAGTGAATTATAGCAAAAACATTATTGTGGGAGGAGAATGTGGGTGAGTCAGATGACTGGAGGGAGGGCGGGAGTGGCTGGCTGGTACACGGCGGTCACTCCTCATTACTTTTTGACTCATAATAGCTACTTAGTGGTTCGTTACAGTGAACAAAACATGCAGATACTTATATATAACCTGTGCTTATAGTGTAATAACCGACAGAGTATTTGTTCACTGATTGATGAACATAATTGAATCAACAATATGCACACCATATTTTTGAGTACAGCAATGATTCACTCATTTTATTATATAAATATATCAAACTACACACTATTGAATAATATTACAGCAAAAACTATGAAAAATCAGAGACATTAAAATAATTAGGTAATTATCTCTTTGTGGCAGCTCCGGCCTGACAGCTGGCGAACAACAGACCGCCTGGGACGCACGCTGAGTCAGCGCCTATAATTTGCCAGACTTCCCCGCCCTATAGCGGGCAATATATGCCACTTAGGATTTTATTATTATTTTTCCCGTGATCAGTGAACACAAATTAACAGGTTAGGAAGAAAAAATATTTTTTTTTTTTTTCAAAATTACATGTGTCTGTGGGGATGACAGGATATTAAACCCCGAGCATGTTAAGGGTTAATGTAAAATTTAAATGATGATGATATCAATTAACGAGAAAATCAACACACAACGATTGCCATATTTTGAAGGTTAAAAATAAAAATTGTGATGTGATGTATTATTTTAACATATGCATGTTGAGCAAGTTTTAACTTGTTTAATTTTTTCAGATCATATCTGGTGAATGGAAGGGTTATACAGGCAAATCCATAACAGACGTGGTAAATATTGGCATTGGAGGCTCAGATCTTGGCCCGTTGATGGTAACGGAAGCACTCAAGCCATATGCTATTGGACCCAATGTACACTTTGTTTCGAACATTGATGGTACACACATGGCAAAGACTCTGAAAGTAGGTGGTTTCTTTTAGTTTTTATATTTAATAAAGTTAAACATGCCCATAAATTTTTTCTCTTAACATACCAATGCTGTATTCTTCTAATAACCTTTATTATGACTTTAAATTCATAAATTTAGTTTCTTCCAGATACTGAATGCTGAAACAACATTATTCATTATTGCTTCCAAGACATTCACAACACAAGAAACCATTACTAATGCAACCTCTGCCAAGAACTGGTTTTTGTCTACTGCTAAAGATGTAAGTACAGTACAGTATATTTTTTCTGTCTTTTGTATAAATGCAGTAAGGTAGAACATAATGAAATTTGCATGTGGAGTTCATTCCAAAAAATAGTTAGGCAGTGCATCACAGCATAAGAAAATTGTCAAGAGGAATATGTTTAATAAATGGTGCTGTATGTGATGGGACTTTACATGGGATTATGATGTAGACGCATATTTATCAAAACAAAAACTTTCTAATTGGATTCCAAGGACAATGCCACTGTATAGTAGTTGCCACTAGTATATAGTGACAACTCCAAATTCGGTATCATATTGTTTCATTATTTTTCGTGTAAATCTCAAGATGTGGACAATTCATAGAATTTTATTTTTAACAGGCTGAATGGCTTTCCCAGGGCACCAACTGTTTCATCTAATATAGTGCATTTATGAAAATTGTTAGACATAATCCAACCCATTCTTCTGTTTAGATAGTAGTTTTTGTAACTGTGCATCACAGTACAAAGCTTGCCATTCTAAGCAATTAGATAGTATAACTTTGTACTATTCACTTTATAGAGTTGGAAAAAAATGAAGCTTAAACAAAATATTCCTAGGCCTAGTGTAGCGTGCAAATACTGTGTACTAAATTAGGCCTCAGGTATCGTGTATTAGGCATAGTAAGGTTAGGTTACGTTAGTTTAGTTTGTCTTTGCAGCATAAGTAGAAAATTGTTTTCCAGTTTTTCCAACTTGATAGTGCTGCTTTCCACTTTCTAATTTTGTTGTACGTCAGTATATATACTATGGTCCTCATCGTTAGTATAAGTACTATCAAAACAGGAGGATGGGTTGCATAATCGATGTCATATACCTTACAGCGGTTATCGTTATATGAAGATTTAAACTATTATTTTCTGGGTTTTAGGTTTATGATGCAAATAAGGATATAATGACCATGGATGTAATTGAGGTTACCTTGACCCACAAAAAAATCATACTATCATTTCATGGTTGTTACTAGGTGAATGCAGTCATTGCCATTGTATGAAATTCCATCATAATTACATGGTATGTATACCGATAATAATCATTAGGTTTTCAAAACTCCACAACTCCGTATGGTTGTAATGAGGTAATGCCAGGTAAACCAATCAATTGAACCATTATCATGCGTTTCGTTTACTAGGAGCCTATTATCATTTATGGCGGCTTACGCCTTTCTTTCAATCTATAATCTTGCCCATATAGTGTCAATTAGGCCATGTCATCGCCCAGAGCCCAACACCGGTGTACCGGTGTATATTATGTTCATAGCCTTTATATGGTTGTAATGCAGTGTACCGGGTAAATTAATAGTCAATTGAAACATTTTCACATGTTAGTGAATTATGTGATTTACAAAGTTATTCAAAACACACACTCGTGTCAGTAAAGAGAAACAAGTGATAAACAATTGGAGAAACATCCGAGGAGAACAAAAGAGTTCTCTCGTATACCTCAGCAAAGCAAAGTTGGGCATCGTGTGTTGACAGACATCAGACCACAGCACAACTTTTCAGAGCACCTCCACCTAGTAAAATGAAAAATTATTTACTTATTTTAATATATTCTTACATTTTGCATACAACTTAATATTTATATAATGAAAAATTATTTTATGAAATTTTATTTTTTGTGCTTAGGCAGGAATGACCATTTTGCCATACCACTGTCTAAGGGTTAAGGGAGGTACCATTTATACCCTAATTTTTTTCCCTGCTCTATGGGTGAATTTCACTGCACAAAATTTTAATTTCAACCTAGCTTACGATGGTCAACCATCAAGAGAACATGACTAAAGTAGGTGTGCACCTTAAGTAAATTAGCCTGGATGAGGTAAGGGTACAGGGCTCTAAATTTTATATTTTATGTTGTATTTTATGTTTTATGTTGTATTTTATTTATGTATGTATAGAGGGAATGAAGCAAGCACTATGTAGACCTAACTTTTGAAGAACAAGTAGTTTCTGGGAACATTCTTGTCTTGAGAGCTGGGGTTCCTTGCTGCTTTGGTGATTATCCTCAGTGCTGTCACTGTATTACATTCTTCAATAATCTTGCTGCCCTAAGTCTTTAAGCCTTCCAGTGACAGTATGAAAATATAAGGTCTATTAAGGAAGTATTTGCATTTAATGAAGAGTCAGAGTTGTCAGCTCTGACAATGTCCAATTGCTTTATTGACCAGTGAAACAGCATCTTTCCACCCCTATTTGGCAAAAATACTTATACATTGCCAAACAGGAACAATATTTATATATAAACTACGTAATATAAAAGTGCTCCATGGCAAGCAGCATGGTGGAGCACCTTCAACTTGCATGTAGTGAAGGCGGGCTCAGCAGGTCGGTCTATGATGAGCCATCCTGCAACTCTTGGGGAAATTACCAGGCTTGAAGGTGGCTAACCATGCGGTACACCCCAGGCACTAGGAACGTTAACTGGAAGAACAAGCCCCGAATGCAGCCTGCAGGATATACTTGGCTACAAAAGGGTACACCCAGCATGCAGTATAAACTAGTGCATGAACCCTAATTCATCTCATAAAACAGAAAAAGAATGCACACAACCACAAGGTTGTGAAGAAGAGGCCAATACTACTGTACAGCCCCCCAGGGCAAGGCTGTCCAACCTGGTAGCCTTGCCTCTCGGGGATGAACTCCCAAGCACCAGAGAAGGCAACTCTGGTTATACAGGTACAATGTTGAAGGAGCACCTAGGGATTGGTGGACCTAGGCCCATGTGTCTTGAAAACATTTTCTTAGAGCAAAATACCAAAAACTAAGAATGATATGCTAGCAAAAAGGCCCCCTCCCCCACAGAACAGAGTTCTTAAGAAGATCTGAATGACACCACAAACATCAAAAGCAAGCTTGGCAGGCAGGTACATAGCCAAACCACACAAGAGAGCTGTGGTGAGCATGCTAATTCCATCAGAAGTAAATTGAACAAGGTCACCAGACATGGGAGATGCTTTCGAGCAAACACTAAACACAGTTTAGGGAGAAACTCGGCTGAGGAGGGTGTAAGCAATACACCACAAGGCGATCATGTAATTACCCAAGTGGAGTTACAGGATGAGAACAATGCTCATCTTCCCAATACTGTACTGTTATATAACGTTTTGAAACTACTAATGTTTTGCCATCCACCGCCTTCTCATATAAACTTGTTCCAACCATCTACCACTGTTTTCAAAAGAACTTTCCAATGTTTGTTGGCACCTTTCTTTCCTTAGTTTGAATCTGTGTACTTGAAGGGCAGGTTTCAATAATTCTTGTCAATTTTGTTGATTCCTGTTAGTATTTTGTACATAGTGATCATATTGCCTCTTTCTTTTATCTTGAAACTTTGGCATACTTAATGTGCTAGTCTCTTGTAGCATGTGAATATTTCATAGCATGCCTTTCCACTTTCATGCTCGTCTCTGCCACAGGGGTTTCTGCTCCTTTGGTCCTGGTGGTCAGTTTGTTCAGTTGCAGCTGTCTCCTTTTCTGGTGAAGATCGAGATGGCGGCTTTCCGGAGGGGCCCTTGGGTCATTGATAATTGAATGGTCAGGCCGGGGATGAATCATGTGTTGTGTCCGGTTGCGGCTCTTCGGGTGCTAACCGGAAGGTAGGAAATGCCTACCTTTCTGGGTGCTAACCCCAGTTTATGGCAGACATGGAATGCCCACAAGTACAAAGGGATTTTCTTAGGCCATTGCTCCCCGTGCTTCTCTGAGGGGGTTAAAGTTCTGGCTTGTGGTCCCTGGTAAGCTGAATTCCGACTGATGCCCCAGACTAATATATCGCATATAAATCCAATAGCTCCGGGGAGCCTCCGGGGGCTCAACCAGAAAATGGCGTTTCATTACATTCAACGCTGTTTTTTTTTTTAGGTCCATATAAACAGTCAACTCGACCATCTCTCCTATAGCATCTTTGTGGCTCTTATCATATAACTAAGTAGATGTGTTACACAGGATCTTTTGAGTTCAAAATCCATACCGATATATCATTTCTCTCCAGATGTTCTATTAATTTGTTTGTACCCGTTTGTATGTTTTGTATATGACTTGTAAAGGGAAGTGTGGTGATGCATCAGACTGTACTTCATTATGTCTATTATTTTAATAATTAATAGTCTCTCTTAAAACAAATATTTGACTATGCAAATATGAAACATATGATGAAACTTTAGTTATTTTTTTCTAGGCTTCAGCTGTCGCTAAGCACTTTGTTGCCCTTTCAACCAACGGTCCTAAGGTGAAGGAATTTGGAATCGATGAGGCTAACATGTTTGGCTTTTGGGACTGGGTTGGTGGACGTTACTCCTTGTGGTCTGCCATTGGTATGTCCATAGCTCTACACATTGGCTATGACAATTTTGAAAAGCTGCTTTCAGGAGCTCATTTTATGGACAGTCACTTCAAGACTGCTCCCCTAGAAAAAAATGTAAGTACAGTATAATTGTTTTTTTTTTTTACAAATAAGATCACAGATTTTACAAGTCCTAACAAATTAAAATTATATTTTAATTAACTTTTGCAGTGTTGGTTTCTCGACAGATTATGAATAACTAAAAATGAAGTTTAGGTAATTATTTATTTGTAATAATAACTTGAAATAATTTGTTGTAATTAATGTTGTTTATTTTGCACCCCAGTTAAACAGTTGGAAAAAAGTCCTGGATCTGCTATGTCATGCACCCATGTACATGTAACTTTAAGATTGTCTTCCAGGCCTGATATCTGGAACCACATCAATTAGCAATCATGTAGATGAAATGGTTTTATTAAAATGTATGTTGGTGCATCAAAACACTTTAATTGTTAAGGCAAGTTAGTTCTCGTGCTCACAGCTCCAGGTTAATGCTCATAATGTGTGGTTTATTTAATTGGCTTCCTTTAAGATTTTGTTTAGTGGTTTACACAAGAAGCATACAAGATCTTTTTTTTTTTAGATTACTGTATCTAAAAGCTCAGTGTTTTTATGTATCTAGTACTGTATATCAATTCCCTCAATAAGTAACTAGATTGGTATTTATAATTTTGTAAATTCAGGTTATTGCTGGCAAACATTGATTACAGATTGTAAAAAGTGTGTTGTTGAATTCCGAAGGGTTCACTGTCTTGTATATTTGCTTTTACTTTTCCAGATTCCTGTAATCCTTGCAATGCTTGGGGTTTGGTATCATAACTTTTATGGAGCAGAGACACATGCTCTTTTGCCATATGATCAGTACCTCCATCGATTTGCTGCTTATTTTCAACAAGGTGACATGGAGTCTAATGGAAAGTAAGTATTTCAAAAAGTTTCATTCATATTATACCACTTGTTGAAAATACAACGTGATCTATAAGTCTGCATTTACAGTATAACAGAAAGTAGCATTTCTGGAGGAAGCCCTCCCGGTGGCTTCCTGAAACTGTTGCCAAGATTCCTCCATACTATAAGGTCACATAAGTTGTGGAAGTTCTGGTTGGCTTACTGGAGACCAGAGACAGAATCTGTCCTTCCCCATCCAACACCACCACCTCACAAAGGCACAAGGAGTGGGTGACAATCTTCCACCCTACTGGGAAAAGCCTCCAGAAAGTCAGTGAAGCTTTACAGACAACTGAAGGGTTTACAGAAAAACAAGGCCTCAGAACTGCCAAACACTTCTGCAAACTATTCACACAGAACAAGGGATTCATTCAATCAGCTTGAATCTGGTTGTACCAATTAACACTACCAGTTGACTCTCCATTTTAGTTCTGTTACTTTTGCTGCACTCTGAAGTGCTTCTTGTAGTGTTCCAGTCTCGGGTTAGAAGCAGAGGGGCTTGCCTACGATCAAAGTGCCAGCCATCCTTGGACTGTTGTCCTGAGGGGGTCATTTGCTTTGTGTATTCTTTTTGTAATTTAGTTCTGGCTTTGCATGTGTGTGTGTGTGTGTGTGTGTGTTGGTCCCACTTGTGTGGGCTTGGCTCTTGTTGCATTTTGGGCTGCATGTGCTTAAGGTTTTCTTTCCTGTGTGCCTACAAAAGCTGCCCTTGCATTGTCAGTTACCTTCTCTGGTGTGTTCAGGAGTTCGCACCCGAGAGGTCTGATCATTGGGGTGGAGAACCTCGCCTTGGACTATTCATGGATTTTTTTATTCTTCTCCCCCTTGGCTGTGGGAGTTCTTTGGTTGTGCTTTGGTGCATGGAGGGTCATGCATTTGTGTATACAACATAATGCAGTTTCCATCATATCCTGGTGGTTTTGACTGTGGATGGTGACTTCCTCCAAAGAGCGGCACTGATGCCTGAGATGCTGAGTGGTTACCCGCCTTCAGGCCCTGGGAATCTCCTGCTGGTTTCTGTTGTGGTCTGTATGGATGGACCTGTCGAGCCCGCCCTCACTGAGAGAGTGTGAGGGATGTTTGTTTGCTACCAGACATTGATTAGTCTCTGTCCCACATGCTGCCTGTTGAGTCGGTAGCACCTACGACCCTGAGTTGTGCAAGGTGTGTTCCCACTGGGTCTCTGCAGTAATTGATTTTGTCTGTCATTTGGAAGCATTTCGGGCAGTGGCCACTTTGCGAGCTAGGTTTGTTTGAGTTAGGCATTCGTGGCAGATTGATTAGCTGGATGCCCTGAAGTCCAAGTCTCTTCCTTTCCCTGCAGATGTGGTTTCCCATGCTTCTGGTCTTTCCCTCCCCCCCCCCCCTTTCCTCCCACTGGTTCCAGTTCTGAAATGCCTGAGAGTTTTGGAGTAAGGTCTGTCAGGATTTTGCTCTGCGTTTAACTCTGTCTTCTCTGGGGGTGGTCCCATCCATGTCAGCTGCAGAGGCAGTCGAGTCATCCAGTCCTTAGGAGGACACCTTTCTATATCTGGTGTTGGGCAGGAACTTCGATGCTGCATCAGAGCCTTCATGGCAGGCTTGATGGGTTGAGGAGAAGCAGCACATGGAGTGCCCTTTGTGGATCTTGGTCTCCTCCACAGAGGGTCTTTTTTTGCAGGGTGATAATTTTTCATATCCTCCCTCCTTGTATGAATTGGATTGCTTGGCTGCTTTTCCTTGTGTTCCGTTCCGGGTCCAATTCAGTGCCTCAAATTCTTCACGTATTGATTGGCATCTTATGCCGAATACTGTCACCTCCTATGTAACATTGGCAGTCACCCCAGCTTGCATTCAGGATTGATAGTTCTTCAGTCCTATTTTGGAAGCTTTCTCGTGCATTGTTTCACCTCCGACTTGCTCGTGCGCCGCCTGAGCCTGCCTTGTCCCCTTGATCAGGTTCTTGCTTTTCTTTCATCCATTTGGTTTATGGTGGCCCCCTTTGGTTTGTGATTTTCAGATAGCATTGTTTTTGTTTTCTCTGGCTTCCAGTTGTTGTGTGTGGGAGCTTCATGCTCTCCCTCGATGCTGGGGCTTTTTGTTTTTTTAGCTTTGGTGGGCACTTTGTTCATCTACAGCCGTCTCCTTTACTGGCGAAGAATGAGTCGGTTGACTTCTGGAGAGACCCTCTGGTGGAAGACGCTTGGTTGGTTCTGCTGGAGATGCATCATGTACTGTCTGGTGGTAGCTTTATTCTGCTACCTTCATGCCACCGGCTCTGTTTTGGGGGATTCCTTGTGGAGAGTTGTGGGTTTCCCTAGTTCCCTGTTCCAAGGCTCATGTTTATCAGGTCATCTGCAGTGTCAAAGTCTACCTAGCTAGCTACCCTTGTGCCCATGATGTGCGCAAGTTTCCCACTCTTTCAGCAGCCTTTGCTAATACAAATACATTGTCTTGGGCTGATATTTGGGAGTGGGGGGTTTTGGTGGCCAAACAGGGTCTTGGCAGCCAGCTATCTTGTGAATGTTACCGGTCCTCAGCGGCCTTGTGTGGCCTTGGGTCATGTGTCCCAGCTGTTGCTCTTATTTGTCTTGATACTTGCGGTGCTTCCCCCTTCCTGGTAAGTGCCCTTTCTTCCTTCTCTATGGGTAATTAGCTTTAGAGTGCCACAAGGCTTTCCACCACCAGAAAACCAGCATTGAATGTAATGAAATGCCAATTTTTGGCTAAGCCATAGTAGCTCCCCAACACCATTGGGTGTGGGGACAGAATTCCATCACGATAAGAACTGGTGGTAGAGCAACCGGCTGACCTGGTCTGCCTTCCTCTTCCCCACAAATGAGGGAGGGAGATGGGGCAAATTAGCTTGCACTAGTTTCACAATTTTTTTTTGTTTACATTGTTGGAGTTTTTTAGATTTTCTGTCTAGTTTTCAATATTTTTTGCCAACATTGATGATTGAGGCCCCTTATCAAATGTAATCTGACTTTGCTTTATATCCTCTATGCTCCCTTGCCACATGCAAGCATTCATTGTAGGCCTAAATTACATTGTCCTAATAGTAATATACACTGTTTTTGTAAATCAGATGTACATAAATCTTGTTATTCAACACAATAGTTTATTCACTACAGTACTGTATTTAAGTGTAAAAATGATTGTATGAACTCCAAGATTCACATGGCACTGAGATATTGATGCAATGTCTGGGGGTGTTTATAGTCTGGGCTGGCTGCCACAAGGTCAACATGTACAGTTGACCTTGTGGGTCAACTGTACATGTTGACCAATAAAAATTTGTTAATGTAGATAATCACCTTATTTCCACTTTTCTGCACATTTTGTATTCAAATAAATCATTTGCATTCATTATTAGGAAAAAACGTTTGAGGGAATTTTTATATTTTTTTGCTCATGGATGGAAATACATGTACTGTACAGTATTTCCTTAGCCGCATGTTAGGAGTTAACAATCTATGCTGTAAGTGTGGATGACCAACACAAGAAAAAAGAAATGGGACTCGTTATTACGAGGCAACTTGAAATGGTCAGGGGTCTATCATCAGTGACAGGATTGATTTGTTGCCGGGCCAAAAGCTGGAACTCCAGACACTGTTGGCAGATTTGCACACTAGGGGGTTCAAGCTAAGCTTTGAGTGAACTAGTTGGATTTGAGTGAATGATTTGTGGAGTCTGTTGCCCGTTTCAGTACTTCACTTTTGTGAACCTTGCAGTTGCCTGTATTGCTTTGCTCACTTTCTGGGTGCTTTCACAGTGTGGGTGGTCATAACAATCCCCAGTTCTATGCTTCCGAGGGAGCCAGGCTCTGGTCTCCGGTAGGTTAACAGGACTCCAGTGACTGTGACTCAATAATGGGAAGCCATCTCATCAAGCTAGCTTTAGGGAATGAACCACCATGGTGCTCCTTGCAGAAAATGAGTTTTATCCTTTTATTAATATAAATTAATGTTCATACTGTAAAATAAAACTTGAGTACCTAATTTCTAAAGCTGTGGGCATTTCTTTTAATAACTGAACTTCATGTATTTGAAAGTAAATGGTATGGTTGAGGTATTTAATGAGCAGTTAAAATAACAATTTATAGATGAATTTGGAGATGATAAAAGGTGGTTCTTAGTCTTTGCTTTGAAGTGAGGAATTTTTCCTTATTGCAGGTATGTTACACGTAGTGGTCGGACAGTGGATTATAAGACTGGTCCAATTGTTTGGGGCGAGCCAGGTACCAATGGCCAACATGCATTTTACCAGCTGATCCATCAGGGTACTCGTCTTATCCCTGCTGACTTCATTGCTCCAGCGAAGTCTCACAATCCTATTGCAGATAATATTCATCACAAGGTTAATTATAATTATTTTAGTTATTTTGCCATTATTTGGTGGGTGCCTTTCTGTACTTGTGTAATTAATTTTTCTTCTTTTATAGGCATCTTTTGATTATCTCTGTCTCTAAAGTTTGATAGTGCTGGTTTTTCTTAACCCTTAAAAAGTAGTTATCATACAATGATTCATGAGGTAATGCAGTTATCATTTGATGATTTAAACTATTATTGTCTGGGTTTTACATGTATAATGGAAATAAGGATATAATAGCTCTGTGGATGTAATGGAGCATACCTTGACCCATGGAAAACCCTGCTATCGTTTCATGGTTTACTATATGAAAGCAGTTATCGTCATAAATGTTATTAGGCGAATGCGGTCATTGTATAAAATTGTTATGCATAACAATGTTCAAATTGTTTACACAACTACATATTGTTGTAATGAAGTAATTTTAACAAATTTTCAAATTTAAAATTTAGACCCAAAAAGTATTTATAATCTTTCAAGTGTTCTGACATCAAGTTTTGGGCTACATCTTTTATTATGGTATAAACCCCCCTCCCCGCTCAGCTCGTTGTTGCCGTGTGGGGGCTTAGTGGGTGGCTGCCGGAGTGTGATGCTCCTTGGGACAGTCCTCTGTCCTTTTCTAGCCTTGTGCTCCTGCTGCCGTCCTCTCCAATTATGCTGAGCACCTTTTCCTTTTCCTTCTGTTTCGTTTTTCTCCCCCCTCTTCTCCTATCTGCTTGACGTTTCCTGCCGACCTTTTGCTTGTTCTGGTTCTTTCCTTGGACTTCTTCTATTTTGACGCCCGGGTGCTTGAGGAGGCATACTCTTGCACCCGTAGAACTGTAGTACTCGACGTCGAGAGCGAAGGGAACCTTTTATTGTCAATCCCCCTTTCGTCACTGAACCCGATCTCGACGGACTGTCGGTTCTTAAGGTGGCGTTTGTGGGCGTATACTCACGACGCACCCCTAGGAGGCCCCACCATGATCGGCGATAGCTTCTTGTTGGGTGTCCTGCCTCTAATTGTGGCTCCATGGTGGGTGTGGGGGCACATTCGTGAATGAATATTCCTTTTCGTAATGATGATAACCCCTGTTTCGACTGTTTCTGCTTTACCTTCTCAGGCTCGTGAGGTGGGCGACCAAGTCCCTGAGTCGGTCCGTGTTGGAAGACCGGGCTCTGTAGCCTCCGCTGCATTGTGCCCCGACCTTGCTCCTCCTTTGGCCTCTCTGACTCCTTCCCCTGGCTCCCCTCCCTCCTCTGTGGTTGGGTCGAGCCCCAAGCCCCCAGTGGTGACTACCTCGTCCCCTGGCGCGGCTCCATCTCTAGTTGTAACTACTGCGCCTTTTAACCCCTCTCTCTCTGGGGATTCTCACCGCCGTCCTCGTCATGGCCGCCCTCGCTCGATTCCTTCCAGTTCTGCTACCTATCAAGCCTTGTTTGGTCCCGCTTCGTGGGCCAAATATTTTGATCTCCTCCCTCTTGATTCTGCGCCTCCTGACGATTTCTCCCTCCATCGACATCTTGTTGATTCCGTGGATGCCTCCATTACTTTCAACCCCACTTGTCTCGGTACACGTGTCGTTGCTGCTCCTTCTCAGGATGCTGCTTCCCGCTTGGCTGCCTTATCCTGCCTTGGCGAGACCCCTGTTCGGGTCTCTACGAACGTTCAGTTGAATGCCAGTGTTGGCACTATTCTGCTCCCGCCCCATGTTGCGACCGGTGTTCGGGACCTGCGTGACTGCCACGACGATATTCGACATATCCTTGCTGCCCAGGGCCATTCTATTTTCCAGGTGGACACGTTTACTCGTCCCCCTCGTGGTAGTCGCCGTCAACCCCTCCGGGTTGTGAAGATTACCTTTGATGGTAAGACCCTTCCACCCTCTGTCATTCTTGCTGGTGCCAGGTGCTCTGTCCAGGAGTACATTCCTTCTCCTCGGCTCTGTAACAAGTGCTGGAGGTTTGGGCATGGTGCCCTCCGCTGCTCCAGGACTGTCTCTCTGTCCTTTGTGTGGTGGCGAAGGTCACTCTAAGTCGGAGTGCACTTCTTCCCAGGCTCGTTGCCTCAACTGCTGTGAGGCCCATCCTACCTTCTCCCGTGCGTGTGTCCATTACAAGCTTGAGGCAGCCGTCCTCAACTTGAAGCACCGGGAGCGTTTATCTTTTCCTGAGGCGAGACGCCAGGTTCGCCGGCTCCCGCCTTATGCTAATATCTCTTATGCTCGCGTGTTGCGCTCTTCCTCTCCTCGTCCTTTCCACCTTCCTCTGACTCACAACCGTTTCCGGGCCTTGGACCCTGATACGCCCACTGCCCCCTCCTCTGTTCCTTTGGGTTCTCTCCCGAAGGATCCACCTCCTGGTCCTCTGTCTGGGGTTCCCCTTCTTTCTACCTGGTCTGTCTTGTCTCCTGTGTCTTCTTCCTCGTCTCCCTCCGTTCCTCCTTCCCATCCTTCTCTTCCGTCTCTTGACTCTCCCCGCCGCCTGTCGGTGCGGGCTGATGTCCATCTCTCTCCAAACGGCCGTCATGTGTGCTCTCGTTCAGCTTCTCCTGTTGAGACGCTAGAATCCGTTGCCCAGTACGTGGTTGCTGGGACACCTGTCTCTAAGTCAGAAGCGTAAGCCTGGCTCCTCTCCTTCCTCCTCCTCAGCGGGTAAGAAGGTTTCGCTTTCTTCCTCGGCCCCTGCTTCTGCCTCTCTCGCTCCTTCCCCTCCCATTTCGGTGGTTGCGCCCCCTGTTCCTGCTATGGAGGTTTCTTTAGCCTCCGCTTCCCTCTCGGTTGCTGCCCTTGCTGAGGTGCGCTCCCCTCTTTCTACCCCCCCTCTTCCTGCTGCTGTCCTTGACTGCTCCCCTCCGTTGTCTCCTCCTCTTCCTCCTCCTGACCCCGCCTGCCCACCTCTGGTCTGTTCTCCTGCCTCCTTCCCTCCGTCTTTGCTCAGTTTACCCATGCCCCCTAACCCTGACTTTGCTGACCCTGATCCTGACCCTGATATTCTTTAACGTGCTCTGTTGCTCTTTCGCCTTTGTTTCTTCCTTGTTCTCTGTTTTTGTCCTTTCTCTTCTCGTCGATGTCTAGTCTTCAATGGAACGTTCGAGGTTATTACTCCAATTTCCTATACCTCCAACTTCTGATTTTGCGGTTTTCGCTCCTTTGTGTCTGTCTCCAGGAGCCGATGCTTGGTGCTCGTCCTAGTCGTTTTCGTGGCTATTCCTTTCTCCTCCCCACCTCCCCCCAGCCGTTGCTGGGGCTTCTAATTCTTCTGCTCTCTTGATTCGTGCTGATGTTCCCTTTGTTCCTTTACTTTTTCCTTCGCCTCTCCATTGTTCTGCTGCTCGTATCTTTGTGGGGAAATGGTACACAGTTTGTTCCATTTATCTCCCCCGGAGTGTACCGCTTTCTCTTCCTGATTTGAAACACCACCTAGACTCCTTGCCGGAGCCTGTGCTCCTGCTGGGTGACTTCAATTGTCGTCATTCTCTTTGGGGTGACGTTCTGACGAATACCCGGGGTCACCTTCTTGAGCCGTTTCTCCTCTCTTCTTCCCTGTCTCTTCTGAATTCTGGTGAGCCCACTCATTTGGACTCTCGGACTCGCACCCTTTCTTGTCTTGATCTTTCTCTCTGCTCTTCTTCTCTTTATTTAGATTTCACGTGGCAGGTTCTTGATGACCTCCATAACAGTGATCATTTCCCCATCCTCGTTTCCTTTTTCTCTTTCCACCCTCCCCTTTCCTTCCCTAGGTGGCAGTTTGCCAAGGCTGACTGGTGCCTATTCACCCTCCGTGCTGCTCTCTCTGACCTCTTCTCTCTGCCTCTTCCTCGAACCCTCCTCCTTTTTTACAACTGTCTTCAACGCTGCCCTCCGCACTATCCCTCGCTCTTCCTCCCGGGGACACACGGAAATGTGTTCCCTGGTGGAATGCAGACTGTGCTCTGGCTGTCTGCTGTAAGCGTGCAACCTGGAAAAAACACCGCCGCTGGCAGACGGCCGATTCTTTTATTCTGTTTCGGAAGGCAAGTGCGGTGGCCCGTAGGATCATCCGTACAGCTAAACATGAGAGTTGGAAATCTTATGTTTCCACCATTACGTCCGATACTCCTCTACCGCACATCTGGAAGAAGATCCGCAAGATTGCGGGTAAGTTCGTTCCAGATGTCTCGCTGGTTCTCCACCTCCGTGGAACTCTTGTGGCGGATCCAGTGAAGGTCGCGGCCGAACTGGGTTCCCACTTTTCTTCTGTTAGCTCTGGTTCTCATCTTCCTCAATCCTTCCTTCTTCGTAAGCCTGTTCTTGAATCTTATCCTTTAGATTTCCACACTCATCTCCGCCTTCCCTATAACGATCCTCTCTCTCTTTCTGAACTTCAGTCTGCCCTGGCCCTCTGCGGATCTACGGCAGCGGGCTCGGATGACGTTCATTATGAGATGCTTCCCCATCTCCCTCCATGCACGTCTCAATATTTACTGAATCTGTATAACCAGGTCTGGGATTTGTCGTCCGTCTATGAGGACTGGCTCTATGCCGTTGTACTCCCTATTCGGAAACCAGGGTCTCTCGGTACATCCCCTAAGGACTTCCGGTCTATTGCTCTCACGAGTTGTATTTGCAAGCTGTTTGAGTGTATGGTAAATGTCCGTCTGATGTGGTTCTTGGAACACCATCACCTCTCTCCTTCTCAATTTGGTTTTCAGAAGTGCTGCAGCACGACTGATGTCGTGGTGAACATGATCTATATTCGTACTGCTTTTGCTGCAAAGACCTCCTTTGTTGCTGTCCTTTTTGACCTTGAAAAGGTTTATGACACGACTTGGAGATACCATATTCTGTCCCAACTCCGTTCTTTTGGCCTTCGTGGTAATCTCCCTCTCTTCCTTCATAGCTTTCTCTCTCATCGTACCTTTCGAGTCAGGCTTGGTGCCACTCTCTCTGCCTCTTTTTGGCAGTATGAAGGTGTGCCCCAAGGTAGTGTTCTGAGTACTACTCTTTTTCTGGCTGCCCTCAATGGTCTTCTTTCCTCCCTTCCTTCTGGCATCTTCTCCGCTCTTTATGTTGACAATCTTACTCTTTGCTGTTGGGGTGATGATTCGCCTCTCCTTCAATGGCGGCTTCAACTTGCGATTGATGCCGTGTCATCTTGGGCCACCAATCATGGCTTCAAGTTCTCTACTACTAAGACTTGTGCCATGACTTTTACTCGGAAGCGGGTGGTTCTTCGTCCTTCTTTGTCACTTTATGGTCATCCCCTTGAGTACAAAGATTCCACGAAGCTTTTGGGGTTATTCTTTGACACTCGTTTGTCTTGGTCGCCCAATGTCTCTTACCTCCGTGTTGAATGCTCTAAAGCCCTTAACCTACTTAAGGTTTTGTCCCATACTTCTTAGAGAGCGGATAGGCGCACGCTCCTCTATTTACATTCCTCTCTCGTCCTGTCTAAGCTCGATTATGGTTGCCCTGCATACTCTTCTGCTTCTCCTTGTACTCTTCGCCGTCTTGATCCTTTGCACCATACTGGGTTGCGCCTCAGCTCTGGTGCTTTTCGTTCAACTCCTACCCTCAGCTTGTACGCTGACACTGGCTTTGTCTCTCCAGGATCGCCGTGATCACTACAGTCTTCGCTATCTTGTGCGATCCTTACAGCATCCTCACTCTCTCCTCTATCGTGCTGTGACTTTTACCCCTCCTGTATAGTTCCTGTTCCTCTTCACCACCTTCCTCTTTCTGTCCGTTTGTCTCGCTTACAAGATTTTCTTTCGGTTCGTATTACTAATGTTTCTCCTCATATTATTCCATCCTTGCCCCCGTGGAGGGTCCCCTTCCCAAATTTTGTATTTCTCTGACCCGCATCACTAAAGCTTTTACCCCTCCTACAGTTCTGAAACGCCTCTTCCTTGAGCACTTTTCTTCTCACTCCCACTCCGTTCCCATCTTCACCGACGGGTCAAAGTCTGCTGACGGTGTGGGCTACTCTGTTGTTTTTCCTGACCACACTTATGTGTGTCGCCTTCCTCCAGAGGCTAGCATCTTCACAGCAGAACTCTATGCTATTCTCTATGCTCTTCATCTCCTGCTTTCCCGGTGTCAATCCTCCTTCATGGTGGTAGTTGACTTTTGTAGTGCCCTCATGGCTTTAGGGTCCTTTAATCCGACCCACCCGGTGGTCATCGAGATTCAACATTGGCTGTTTCTTATCTCCAGTAAATTTAAGTTGGTTGCATTTTGCTGGGTTCCCAGCCATGTTGGTGTCTCTTTAAATGAGCATGCAGATGCTGCCGCTAAGGATGCTATCCGCACTTGTCCCATCTCCCATAAAGGTATTCCTTATTCCGACTTTTACCCAGTTATTCATGCCTCCATCCTTGCCCGCTGGCAGAGTTGTTGGTCTTCTGTTGTTGGTAACAAACTGCGCACTCTTAAGAGTCGTGTGTCCCAGTGGCCTTCCTCCTGCCACCGTAACCGGCGGTGGGAAACGGCTCTGGCTAGGTTACATATTGGCCATACCCGTTTAACTCACGGTCACTTAATGGAGCGCCGCCCTGCTCCTTATTGTCCAAATTGCATTGTCCCTTTTACGGTTGTACATATCCTTGTTGAATGTTCTGACTTCCAGGACGAGCATGTCTTGTTTTCCGCCTATCCCCCACGGTCGCTTGTCCCTCGATAGAATTCTTGGCAAGTTGGATACTTTTGATACCGTTCGCCTTATGCGTGTTTGTTCTCGTATTGGCATCCTTGGTGATATTTAGCGCCCTCTGATTATCCCGCACATTTGATGGTGCTTACATAGCCTTCCCGGTTTGGTGCCTTCTATTGATAATTACTTACTTCCTAGAATCAAAGGTAGGATATTGCGTCAGCCACCACCAGACCATGCGGTGATTATTTCCTTGTTTAACTCTTAATAAATCCAGTCTACAATTTGCTTTCATTTGCAATTATTTTAGATTGGAAATTAAACGTGTAGAGAAATAAGGTGTTCTTCCATCCTGAAGTAAATTACTGCAGTACTGATTGTTATATCACTGCTGGCAAAATAACAGTTGCACTGCATTCAGCATTTAGATTATGTAGTGCAGTTTTGGTCACCGTACTATAGAATGTATATAAATTCACTTGAATGTGTCCAGTGTAAAATGACACATTAATTTAAGTTAATTCCCCAAATTAGGAACCTGTCATATGAAGAAAGATTAACAAAGCTTAAATTGCATTAACTGGAAAGGCGAAGAGTTAATTCTTCGCCTTTGAACTGTAAATCATTAATCCTATTAAAACATTTGTTAGATGCCTGAAAATCCTGCCTATAATAGAATTTTTCATTGTGTAACTGAATAAACAATTCTCAATTATCATGCTGAATACAATATTGCAGAAATATAATACTGTACTAGTTTGATTGTACATATAAAATTTGACATTTAAGACTTAATTTATTTTTCATATTACAGCTATTGCTGGCCAATTTCCTTGCACAAACAGAAGCACTGATGAAAGGAAAGACCACGGATGAAGCAAAAGGTGAACTAGAGAAGGCAAACATGCCATCTGATAAATTGCAGCGAATCTTGCCTCATAAAGTATTTGAAGGCAATCGCCCAACAAACTCCATCCTCATAGAAAAACTGACTCCTTTTACCTTGGGGGCATTAA